AGCAACGCAACCTCGCCTCATCCCCCTCTCCGGCAGTTGGGGGGGGGGGTGCGGTGGAGAAAAAACAAAGCCGACAAGCACGCGCCGCATGGTCAACACACAGCATCCAGAGACACACTCCCCTCGGCCGCCCCCCAGACCCAAACACCCACCGTCCCCCGCCACTACACGTCCAATGATTACACTATATGCGCTCTCGCGCTCAGAGGGGCTAATTAATGCTTTAATATGCAAATCAGCGCCACAGCAAATTACACAGCTGGCAAATATGCCTGTTTTGCCCCCGAAAATACATCAGGAATTGAGCAAGACTGTTTGGATCGAGGATATGAGTGAGCGAGAGAGAGAAAAATAGAGAAAGAGAGAGATATTTCAAATGCAGAAGACAATTTTCAGCTCCTAACTTTTTGGAGAGCTGGGAATAAAGTTTATGAAGTGTCAGATTCAAAGAACGACCACATGGCTGTTATTAGGGATTTAGTCATTTGAGAGATTCCTCGCAGTCTATCCGGGTAACCAAAAGAAATATACCCAATATTTCAGCCCGCATAGACATACAAAGTGTAACTCCAATCAAGAATGCTTGAAGAAGAGGTGAGAGAGTGTTAGCAAACTGCAAAGCAGAAAAAAAAAGATGTGAGAACAGTTTTGGAGGGCTAGTTTTGATGAACACATTTGACATGAATTCGATAGCTCGGTTTTTATGTCAGGTTGCTGTTTTCATGCCCCTGAACGGTGTGAATTTGACAGGATAAGGTTCTGTGGGATCATCACTGTGATACAGAGCTTGCCGCCAGCTTTCGCATGCACACTATGTGCGGTAACTGAGAACATCACAACAAGCCCTACTGTCATAAGTAAGAGCAGAAGCTTCAATCCCCTTGCCGAATTAACAAAGTAACTTTAGCTACACTATATCTAAGGTCATCGGTACCAACATCACTGACATCTACTCCAGTCATAAAGTCATAAATCATCAAAGTAAGATCACTGTGGACACTCCTTGCAATAGCTTATGTAATACGTCCAGGTTTATGTTTGTGGCGCAAGTGTGAGTGTGTTTATTTGTATGTGAGTGTGTATTTGAGCCTGATATTCATTAACGTGTATGTGAGTATGCATGCCTCCATCCTCAGCTCCTCAAACTCCAACCTGAAATCCCTCAAATTTCCACAACTCCAACCTCAGCCTCAAACATTAGCCTAAAATGACTTTTAAATCTCTCAATCGTCAACCTCACACTCTTTTAAACTCCACCCTCAAATGCCTTCAAACTGCCTCAAACTCCAACCTCAAGGTCATTCAAATTCCCTCAAACTCCAGCCTCAAACTCCTTCAAATTCCCCTTAAATTCCAACCTGAAGTTTAATCAAATTCTCTCAAACTCTGACCTCAAGCTCCTTCAAATTCCCTCACACTCCGATGTCAAGCTCCTTCAAATTCCCTCACACTCCCATGTCAAGCTCCTTCAAATTCCCTCAAACTCCAAACTCAAGCTCCTTCAAACTCCCTCAAACTTCAACCTCAAGCTCCTTCAAACTCTCTCAAATTCCGACATCAAGCTCCTTCAAATTCCCTCAAACTCCGACCTCAAGCTCCTTCAAATTCCCTCAAACCCCAACCTCAAGCTCCTTCAAATTCCCTCAAACTCCAATCCCTAAATCCATCCTCAAGTTCCAACCTCAAGTACCAACTTCAAACTCCCTCAAACTCTTTTATGAATCCCTCAGATTCCATCCTCAAACTCCAGCAAAACTCTAACCTCAAATTCCATTTTGACCCTAGTCTTCCTTAAATTTTGATCAAACTCCGCAAAACTAGTGTCAAACGTCTTTGTGCTCTGACTTCAAATCAAATTCCGACTTCAAACTCCAACGTCCCACTGCAGCCTAAAATTCCAATCTTAAATTCCAAACTTAGTCCCCCTCAAACTCTGACCTGAAAATCCTTCAATTTGCCATCAAACTCCAACTTCAAACTCCCTCAAGGTTCTGAACAAAACTGCAACCTCAACTCTGACCGCAAATTCTCTCAAACTCTAATAATAAATTCTGACCTCAAACTTGAATTATTCGAATTAAAATCTCAAATTCCAGTGTAAAACTACTTGAACTTCAACCTCCAAATTCAAACTCCCTCAAACATCTCTTAGCTCTAAACAGGGCCTGTCCCTTTAGGCCTGCTTCCTCTCCACAGCCTCACCTGTGTTTAATGATGCTCACAGCAACCCCACAGCGTTCTGCCCAGTGACCACGTCTGTGAGCAAACACCAGGGGGGACGATTAGATTGCATCGTTGTAAACTTACGTTCCACAAGAAGAACGGTTTGACATTGACCAGCTCAAAACCAATATTTGCACAGCAAACAAACAAACAAACGCACATTAAACAACACAGGCGAAAAATCACAACCTTAAATGATCTTCATGAATACTGTTCATTCACCAGGTCGACAAAGTCCACTGATAAGAAAAATAAACATCACTACCTTGCTACAGCCACTGATAGCTTGCCCTTGGAATCCTGCATTTCATAAGGCTTCATCTATGAATATTTTAGATGGGTAAATAATTAATAATTAACGCCAAATAGGCCAGTGATCAAATGAAGCAGAGCATCAACAGACATGCAAAACCAGACGCTGTAAACAAAGACCCAAGGACCGACATTTTCTCCCTGCCACCTTCCCTTCCTTTTAAATATGCGCATCCTAAATTGCACCGCACATACACACACCCTCCCGCACACACATACACTTTTCTTTTGAAAAATGAAATTTTCACTTTTCACAGGCCCAGGGAATTCCACAAGACTGAATCAGAACACTTGATCTGACCACCCGCTGATTTCTGATGGAAAGATTTTCTTTTTAATACAATTGTCACTCCTCCTGCCACATTGTGCCTGGCCTAGACAAATCCCAGCAGTGTCTCTGCCGCACACAGCCGCAGTAAAATATGCCTTATTCTAATCGGTTAAATATCACCCTGCTGTAATCTATCACAGTAGAAATGTTAATAATATGGTGCTGGGTTTCTGTTGAGTTTAAATACAGAGCAGTTATGAAAGACACACGCCATATTTTCAGACTGTTTATCTAGGAAAACTGAAAACAAATACATTAGGGTTATATGTGTTCCCCTAGAACCTAAAATATATATATATGGTTCTTGGAGATTTGTTTGTAGAACCTTTTAAAATTTCAAAGAACATTCATGTAATGTAAATGTTCTTTACCAATTTAAGGCTCTTTCTAAAGCTTTTATATTGTGTGGTGGTTTTTGAACTTTATAAAGGTTCCACACACCCACATCTCATTTCTAAAAATAGTTCTCTAAAAAAACCATCAATTTTTAGGTTCTATAATGAACTAAAAGCAGTTCTCCTACATCACTGTGCAAAGAACTCTTTTGGTACCTTTAATCTTAAGAGTTCTTCTTGGTGTTACGCAAAAATATTTTTAAAAGCTTCTTTAAAATCCATTTAAAAGACATAAAGAAGAAACATTTAACCAGGCAAATGGCTGTCATGGTTCCATATATAACCACTGCCTTGAAGAACCACCTTTTTTAAGGGTGTAGAAGAACCACTTTGGTTACCTAAAGAATCATGCTTGGGTATGAGTGTGAAGAACCTTTAAAGAACCTTCACATAATGTAAAGGTTCTATAACAATGTAAGGGTTCCTCCTAGAACCTAAACATCATGCGGAGGTTCTTTTAACAGATTTTCACACTTGCACGTCTCAGTTACAAAAACGATTCTCTAAAGAACATCAACTGGCCAAACACTCAAACATCTCATTTACAAAAATACTTTGTGTATTGACAGGTTCTTTAGGGAACCGAAAGTGGTTCTTCGTGCAAAGAACCCTTTCTGGCACCTTTATTTTTGAGGGAGTACATGAGAAATCAAAAATAAAACAAGTTCGGCTCTAAGCGAGAGCAGGCTTTGGAGTGTGTTTTAAAGTGAGCATTACTTTCCTTGGAGAATTTAATTAATGCTTTAATATGCAAATAAGTTTGAGGAGATAAAATCATGACAAACAGATGGCAACTGAGCTTAATTATTTTTTTTCTCTAATCGAGCAGGGGCATGCATTAGAGCCGTGGCATCATTTTTTCAGGGCTTTCACAGTCATATTGGAAGTGGCACCTCGGAAAATCCAGCAGCAGCCAAAGTCTCTGGGTGTCTATCTGCAACTAAGTTGGGATAGTGAACTTTGGCAGAGAGTTCATTAGCCTGGAGCGAATCTATAAACTGAGCGACTTTGAGGAGCTGTAAACAGCAGCTTTCTGGTTTGTAAGAAGCCACTTATTACTGGCTCTCTACCATTTGCATGACTGATCGCATGGAAAGGGAAAAATATGTCTGACTGATCCTGAACTGAAACCTGTCCAACTCAGAGGCCACTGTGTAGACTTGCATATGTGGTTTCTGACATACTGTTATTTCTGAAAATGGACAGAGCGAATTCAGTCTTCAAGATGGCTAATCTTGCTGTTTTTAGCTATACTAATGCACTTTTGTCCATGTTTATAGATAACAGTGTGTCACACAGTGTCAGAAACCACATAAACAAGTGTATTAGTGACTACTGAACAACTCCACACTGTTTGAGGGAAATGTGTGATGATTTAGGCAGGCAGTTTGCACAATTGGTGGGTTTTAAGCTTCCATTACTTGTTAGCTAGATTAACCTTGTAGCACAAAAGAAGCAAACATCTGACACTAAACATGTCTTGGCTGATCAGTTACACTTAGGGTGAAGGTGAAATTGTGTCAATTAGATTTTTTAAACTAAACCACAGCTTTAAGCAGTTTTTCTGTGCTATATTTTTTAATATATCAAAAACAAAGAGTGGCTTATGTTAATATATTAGCCTCAAGCTAACACACTATTCACCTGCTAGTTATGATACAATGATTTGACTGCAGTGCAATATGATACAATACGATATGTTATATTGTTACATCATATATGAAGAGTGATCCACTGACCTTCTCCTCTTTGGGGTTTTGGTCCAGGTCTAATTGGAGAACAGAGTGGTTGATCCTCAGGGCCAAAGCCAACGCCATTAGACCTCCAGTGAGAATTCGGTTCTCCCTTACATCCAGAGATAGGAGCACACGACTTTCAGCCAGAATCTCAGCCAACACAACCGCACCTGCCATAAAGAACAAACATCAGGCCTGAGTGGACAAAACAAGGTTTCTCAAACCAATCCTAAGGGCCCACCACACAGGCCATATTTTTGATATTTGGCATCGATTCCACAAGTGGACAGAAGACATCTGGACCTCTCCACCACATCCCTTAAATGCTCAATTGGGCTCATGCTGGCAAATGTCCAGGCCACAGCATTCATCGGAACTCTCCAGAATGCTCCTCGAACCAATTCTGGACAACTTGGGCCCGATGGCACGGTGCATTATCCTGCTGGAATATCCCATCATTGTGGGGGTACATGAAGTCCATGAAGGGCTGCAAATAGTCACCAACCAGTGAAACGTAGCAGTCACTGGTCAATGACATGTTTAGGCAGACCAGTGGACGCCACTAATGCCATGAGAACACACCTCACACCAGTATAAAACCTCCACCAGCCTGTACAGTGCCTTGTTGACCACTGGGGTCCATGGCTTCATGAGGTCTGCACCACACATAAACCCTACCATCAGCCTGAAGCAATTGGTACCGGACCACACCACATGTCGCCAGTCCTCTAGGGTCCAGTTAGCAACCTCACAAGCCCAGGTGAGGCGCTGTGTCCGGCGTCTTGGTGTTAATAGATGCACTCCGGTAGGTCTTCTGCTCCCATATCCCACGGAAGCTAAAGAACGCTGCACTGATCTGCAGGATAAGCATGCGGGGCCTCCTGCATTGAATGTGGATGTGCTTTCTGTGATGCCAGTGTAAATAACAGCAGTATAACATAATAGTGATTATAAATGACTACTGTCTGAGGCTGTCAGGCAAATACAGCAACATAGCATGTGCAAACATTAGAACAGTGCAAGCTGAAAGCACTAGTATACTCTTAAAAAAAGAGGTAAGAGTTAAAGGGTTCTTCAGTAAAGACAGTGGCTCTATATAGAACCCTGAACACTTAAAGAACGATTTGCATGCTTAGATTTATCTGCATTGTGAAACGGTTTATTCAGGTTGATGAAGAATTTGTTGTATATGTTTTTTTATAGAAGCTTTTTGAAAATGGTTCTATATAGCACCAAAGTGGGTTCTTCTACTGTTACAAGCTTGACGTTGCATCAATACCAGAACCCTTTTTAGTGCTCCACAGAACCATTTTCCATACAAAAAAAAAAATTCTCCATCAATCTGAAGAACGATGCCACCATGTAAAGAACCCTTTAAGCATGCAAACAGTTCTTTGAGTGCGCATGGTTCAAGAATCCTTGAAGAACCACCTTTTTAGGAGTGAGATACAGCAGCCTCTGATGTGTAGTTAGTCACTCTGTATTCTTAACAGCTTGGTTCACTCAGTTCACATGTTTTGGGAGTTGGGACAGAGCAAAAAAGTGGACCAGCCAGTGGGCACCCTGGACTGAGTTAAGACACACTGCAGCAGAAGCTTGAAACATGTCTCAGTGGGAAAACGCTGTAGGGTAGGGGTGGGCAATGTGACAATATTTATCATTAACATGATAAACAGTAGGTCACAATATGCATTATCAGTCTAATATGCGCACATTACTACTGCATGACCAACTGCATGATTTATTAGAAAACAGAATTAGTCCAGTTGAATTGAAATAACAGTAGCACAGTATGAAAAATGTTAAATTAAAATAATAATATTAACAGTAGTAATTTTTAAATATAAATATGCTCCTTCTGTTTTACCCATTCCTTATCAAACTTATCATATCTCAGAAAAACAAAATATAGTGATGAATGAAACCGACCCAAGCTGGCACATCATCACCCAAAGGTCAGCGCTGGTTACTGTGTAGTGACAATATTAGCCATTATTAGGTCACAGACCAAGAAACTAAATAATAATATAAAATAAAACACTATGAAGAATAATCATCGTCTGGCATTAAGTAAAAAAGCTGTAGCTATTTTATTCATCGAATAATGCTTTTAAACAGCATCTCAAACTTTTTTTCCTCCTTAATGCACTGTTGTAATGTTGTGCGATGGTGATGTAGCGAGATATTTGCTTCACCTGTTTAATCCCTAAACTTTATTTCGGCTCATAAAATATATTACATAGAACATATTGAACGTATAAAAATTATTTTGGCCAAACAAATTAAACATACTTTTGGCTGCACCAAACTGTACTTTCCTGAATAAATTCACTGTTTTTTCATAAAAGTGGGCCTTGTGGACTTCAGTGATCAGTGTAGGACTCCAGCGTGCCAGATTAATAACAACTGAAGGTGGTGAAAGCAGTGAAAAGTAAAGTAAGGAGAAAAAAATGAAGGTAAAATCTGTTTAAAGTGGGAGGCCTGAACCCGAATGTAAATAGAGCAGGCCACAGATCCATACCTTCACATGTTATTCCGACTGATGCCAGACTGAGCTGGGTTATGGAGCGATTCATCATGAGTGACTCCTTCAGTATGTGGATCCCTTGGTTCTCCAGATTGTTCCTGCCAAGATCCAATGTTTCCAGTGTTCTCAAGTAGGGCTGAAACATCATTTAAATATATTAATTTAAATTGAGGTGCAAAAATCAAATTTCCTCATCCTAAATGTAGTCAGTTAGCCAAGACATTTGATGTCCACTGGTTTTGCACTGGATCTACAAGAATAATGTAGCTAACTTTAGCTTATAAGCTTATAGCCATAAATTTAGCACTGTGGAAACTACATGTCTAAATATACCTGCCTCAAACTGTGTTAAGTATTCTCAAATTGACTTGCTTTTGTGGTAAAAATGGACAAAAATAGTAGTAGCAGCTGTCTACACTTGCCCGGAGCAGTGGGCAGCCCTATCCACGACGCCTGGGGAACAGTTGGGGGTTAGGTGCCTTGCTCAAGGGCACCTCAGTGTTGCACTGTCGGCTCAGGGGATCGAACCGGTGACCTACTGGTCACAGAGCTGGGTCCCTAACCTCCAGCCCATGACTGCCCCTTTGAGCAGAGCTCATTTACATGTACAGCCGTATGCAAAAGTTTGGGCGCCCTTAGTAATTGTTTTTTTTCTAAGTGAAAATAAGTTAACACGTTTCTGCAGAGAACACACTTTGGCACATTCTACTGCACAATTACTGTTTATTTGCTAAATTTAACATTTTGGGAAAAAAAAACAAACACGTGCAAAAGTCATGGTACATTTCATATTTTAAGTTATTTTTTAATACGTAAAACTTTGCAGAAACTCTGTACAGAACTAATTTTCACTTAGAAAATCAACAACATCTCATTTGATCAAGGGTGTTCAGATTTTGCATATGACTATATTCAGGCTCAGTAAGAAAACCAGCCTGTTTAATTCTAAGGGATAACGAGAGGTTGGAAAATGGTCATGTAAAAATGAATTGTGACTTTTTGGTACTCAAAACAACACAGGTCATAAGTAAACATCAAGGAAAAAATAAAACACAAGGCAAATGTAAGATATGGGCCCTTTAAGGCATTTTAAGCAAAAACAGACAAAGAGCTTGGAGTAGATTTCGATTTTTTACATGATCATAATATTTTACGCAAAAACCTAAGGAATGCTGTTCCACTTCTCAGGGCTGTGAATGCGGTTACGGATGGTGAACGTGTGTCATTCTGTGAGCTTTAAGTGTCATCCATGCAGCACAAGCAATAGATTGACTCTCCAGAGCACATTAGCAGAGCCACTTGTGCAGCGTGATTAGTATCCGTAGAAAGCAGGAGATGGCAGAGGACATGAGGGAGACGCTGTGTTGCAGAACAGAACAAACGCCATGCTAGTTATCTACTCTCATTACGCTCACACAGAAACACACTTTCATTCGAAAAAATCAGCTAAATAACTAAAAACAAGACGACTCAATACAATATTTATAGTTTGTTTGTGGCTTATAAACACACACACAAGCCAGCAGTAGCAGTTCTTGTAATAACAAGCAACACCATCCTGGATCATTACTAACTCTCACTAGCACTCTTTATTTTGTCCCTTTAGTCATTTATTTATTTATTTATTTATTTATTAAATGATTGTAGTGTAATCAGCAGAACCTGAAAGCAAGCGATAGACAGAAAGAAATGTAAAGGGGAATTCCACTGATATTTCAAAATTTCTGCATAATTCACTCCTTGAGATGCAAACAAAGTTATTAAGAGTGGTTTGACGTGAAGTGGTTAATTATAAGGAAACTACCCAACTCAGATTTCTTTACATTGGTGGTGATAGGAACCAGGGGTCATGAAATCTAGTGCAAATATAGCCATTTTATTTACCATCCAAAACCACCAGTGAACCTACACGAGTCTTCTGAGTTTTTATATGTAATGTTAAATACGATATAAATATGATAAAGTATTAGTAAATCTGAAAAAAGAAAAAAAAATATATATATATGGTCATAGTATCTCCATTTTGTTGTTTTTCAGTTTTGGCATTATTTGAAAGTACCTGTTGCCTTTTACATTATGTATACATTTCATGAAGAACGGACCAAAAGAAATGGCCCAAAATGACTTGAAAAAAAGTCTGGTTCCATTGACTTACATTTAAAGTAAAGTATGTTTTTTCCTTGTTTTGTAAAGTTATCTTTTTTATTTATTTATTAGTTACAATGTTGCCTTACAATGCCCTCCACCTAACTGCCATAAACTGATCAAAAAATTTACTACATCACATTATTTTTTAGGCTTTCCGAAAACTACAATAAAACAATCTGACATCAGGCAGAGTGGTCATGACTGCCTCATGTAATACATTTCTGTGAGGGAGCTTTTTAGAGGGGGACATCTGGTTCCTATCATCACCACAGTGAAAAATTCTGACTTAGTATTGTCCAAGAGAAAATACCAAGTCAGAATTGATACACTTCCATAAACCAAACCACTCTGAACGACTCTGTTTACGTCTTAGCCCTTCACTTAAGCAGCCGTTTTGATAAAACAGTGAGATTCCCCTTTAAGCTCTATATATGACTCAATTATAACACAATAGAGAAATTATATAATGGCAATAAATATTCCATGCTTTATACCGATCAAACACGTGTGATATGGTTAAGAACGCCTGCCTGATACACTTCCATAAACGTCATCTAAACACTATGGAAAATGATCATGATTTAATTAGGTCCCGCTGACATGAGAAAGCGTCCTGCTCTGACCGGATAACCCATTCATCCCTTCTGCTCTCGCCTTCTTTTAAAGGCAACCCCGGAATAAAGAAATAAAAAAAAAGAAAAAAAAACAGAGAGGTTAATAACAGCCCTTCCTGTGTCATATTTGACACGACCAGCCATTGCACTAATTATATTCATTATGGTCGCATGGATGTCTACTTATCCTTCTTAATGACAGAGCGCATGAAAAAGCCCACTAAACACATATCTATTATTTAATCAAACTGTTCTCATTTGGTGCAGGCAAAATGGAACGAGCGAGCTTTATTTTTGGCCTGGATGGATTCTCTGTGAATGTGCCAGCGGCCGAGAGGAGACAAAAGCGGGCCTTTAATTTGTACCCTTTTGATTTGGATCGCCATTCAAATGACAGAAAGGTACAGTTTATTCTGACAATCAGAGCTACTAAAGAGGAATGGATATTATTAGGGATTACACATAAGCTATCTAGTGAGGATAAGACAGACGCTCTCTTTTTGTTCTCTTTTCTTTTCTCCCAGTTTGTCAAACACTACTGCAGACAAAGGAATCCAGGAGCTGTCATCAAGATGTTTGGGCTCTTGCTCTGCAGAAATGATTTGTGGGCCCCATTTTGAAGAACTTTAACTTATCGTGGCTGCTCAACGTCAACTGCAGAAATGACTAATTATTAGCAGAGACATCACAGCTTGAAAATCAATCAGTGACACTTTATTTAAGGGCGGTGTTCAAGAGGCTACATGACATGGACATAAGCCTTTCATGACAACTGACATAAACCTACATAGACATTTATAAAAGCTTATTTCAACAGGCGTCACCTTTCAACTTTAATGTCCAAAGAGGTTATATATATGGTATCTATCTGTCTATCTATCTATCTATATCTATATATCTATATATCTAGAACAGAGGTCATTATTTACATATTTCAGTCTTAAAGGCACAGTGACAAAAAAAACAGTCTAAAGTAAAAAAGAGAGGCTGGAAAATGTTCATGTAAAAATGTATGATCACTGTTTTTGGTACATAAAAATACCAGCATCGTTATAAGTGGTCTTTCAGGGGAAAGAAAAATAAAATAAAAGAAAAATAAAAGAAAAAAAGTAGGTTCCCAAACAATCGCTAAGGTCATAATGTTATTAAAATACATGGAAACCAAAGGAATTTGCGTTTTTGTGGTGTGATAATGTGATGGACATGTCTATTAGACATATTTTTGCTAATTTCGCAAGATCATCCAACTAATTCAATATAAGATAAAGACAACAGGATGCAGCTTAAATAATCATTCCATTTATTGATAAAGATTTATTCCAAACCTATATTACCCATGTGAAAAAGTATTCTGCTCAAGAGAGCAGAATTCATGGTTCCATCAATTATGACAAGTTGTCCAGGTCCTGCAGAAGCAAAGCAGCCCCAGACCATCACACTACCACCACCATGTTTAGTTGCTGGTATGATGTTTTTATGGTGGAATGTGGTGTTTTACGCCAGATGTAACAGGACTCATGTCTTCCAAAAAGTTTGACCCTTGACTCACCGGTGCACAGAATATTATCCCAAAAGTCTTGGGGGTTATCTACACAAATGAGATGAGGCTTTGTGTTCTTTTTAGTCAGCAGTGGTTTGCACCCTGCAACTTTCCCATGGATGCCATTTTTGCCCAATGTCTTACTTAATGTGGAATCGTGTACACTGACCTTGACAGAGGCAAATGAGGACTACAGTTCTTTAGATGTTCGTCTGGGGTTTTCTGTGACCTCATGGATGAGATGTCAATGCGCTCTTGGTGAAATTTTGGTAGTCAGCCACTCCTAGGAAGGTTCACCACTATTCTAAGTTTTCTCTGTTTGTGGATAATGGCTCTCACTGTGGTTCAGCGGAGTCCCAGAGCCTTAGCAGTGGCTTTATCATTAGATCTTTGTATGTGGTTGTATAGTGTAGTGGGTAACACCTTTGCCCTCTACGCTGTAGACCGGGGTTCAATTCCCCGCCTGGGTAAGCACTCTACACTATACCAATGAGAGTCCTTGGGCAAGACTCCTAACACTACCTTCGCCTACCTGTGTAAACTGATCAAACTGTAAGTCGCTCTGGATAAGAGCGTCTGCCAGATACTGTAAATGTAATGTGAATCTTTGACTAATATTAAAAATAGTTTTACAAATTGTGTGACAAATAGAAGAAATTGGGAGGGGGCAAATACTTTTACAGCACTGTAGCCAATCAAATGGCTTGTTAAAGTGTCTAAAATTTCCCCATTCCAAGTTACGCTCATTTAGAATATCTTTTTATTTAATTTCTACCTTCAATTCTAGGCTCCACATTTGCTAAAAAAAGCAATTTTAACAGAAATTGTTTCTCAGTCAAGGTTTCATTAAAAATCTCCACTGACAAACTTCTTTAAGTCTTCATTTCATGCCTGTAGAATGGGGTCATAATGTATTAACACATTATGCATGTCATCTGTCTAAATGTGCTGCACAGATGTACTCTTAAACCCTTTTAACATCGCAGTTAATGAAGACACACTGCAACTCACCAGAACGCGTTTTAGATGAGTCATGCCGTGGTGAGTAATTTGGTTATTAGACAGCACTAATGTTCTCAGACCAGACTGCTGAACCCTCAGACCGTCACAAAGTTCCTCCAGCCCTGTGGAATAAGAGAGGAAAGAGTTTGGGAATGTAGCACCAAAGCACCAGCATCAGGCCACCAAATGGGATTAAAGTATAAAACTGTATGTTGCCACTGTCAGAAGGGGATGCACCGATATGGGAATCCTGGGTTGATACCGATTTCTGATATTTTTCACATATATATCGGCTGATACATAAACATTTATAAAATATAGAAAAAAACACCAAATCTACCTGAATTTGCATTACAGACAAAGCTTACAAATGCAGTAAAATGAAAAAATATATATTTTAGCACAGCAAACGAGCATCATCTAAACATTCTGGAGTACAAAAAATATGTCAAAAAATATCAGTTTGAATTATCAGCTGAATATCTACAAAACATTTTTAGCATTTATCTGCCGATACTGATATGATTCCGATATCATTGTGCATCCTTATAGACCAATAGAATAGAAATGAACCAATAGAAATATTCCAAAAAACTTTTAAATAGGGGTTTATGTCTCAAAATAAATCAACTGAGTGCCCTGGAGCTATGTAAAGTCATATGCAAAAGTTTTTACGCCCCTGTTCAAATGTTTTTGTTGATTTTCTAATCGAAAATAAGTGAAAACATCCTCTACAGAGAACACACTTCTACACATTTTAATGCACAATTACAGTTTTTCCGTTTTTAATATTTAACATTTCTACTGTTATGTTTTTTAATTGCCCTACTATGTTATTTTCCATTTTTCACGTTTTGTTTTCTCTCTGTTTCTTTTGTTCGTCTTTTACTCTTTACTCGTGTTTTGACTTGTTTTGCTGATTGTTATTGCACTATTTTGTAATTTATAGCATGTCTTCTGGACCCCAGGATGAATAGCGGCTATTGTGAAAACAGCTAATGGGAATCCTTAAAATAAACAAATAAACAAATAAACTGTTTATTTCCTGAATTTAATATACTGGAGTAAAAATAAACATAAATGCGGCCTGTGCAAAGGTTTTGGCACATTTTATATTTTAGGTTTCCCAACACGTTAAGCTCAGCACATAAACAGAAATTGTGCATTGTAATTTGCAGATAAAAGCCATATTTAAGCGACTCCCTGTAGAGGACATGTTTACTCATTTTCAGTTAGAAAAACAACAACACATAATTTGACTGGGATGTTCAAACTTTCACCTATGACTGTAAAATAGGTAAACACATCGTCTCACAGAAAACACACTTCTGCACATTTTTATGCACAATGAAGGTTTATTTGCTCAATTCAACATAAAATGTGGCCTGCGCAAAATTTTTGGCAGGCACACTTTATCTTTCATGTTTTTTGTTTTTATTTTTTTCCAATATGTTAAAATCAGCAAATAAACAATAACTGTTGACTAAAATTTGCAGAAAAATGCAATGTTTCAGTTCTCTGTAATGGAATTAATTTGCTTATTTTCAATTAGGAAATCAACCGAATGTGTAATTTGACCATTTGCAAATGATTGTAAGAGACGACATGCTTTCTGATACCTGTATACATCCACTTTGGAATGAACGCACTGGGACCAGAATATAAATACATACCTGTGTCAGATATGGTGTTATTGCTGAGGTTCAGAGTTTTCAGGGTGTGATTGTATTTAAGCAGTTCTCCTAACTGCATGGCATCCTGGTAGCTGTTGAGCTCATTGTCACACAGGTAAAGCTCCTGCAGAGCAGAGTTCTTCTTCAGGGCCCCGACTCAGGAGAACAAAGAGGAAATCATCTCAACACCTGGAGCTGCTAACCACCGTTATTTCATTACAGAGCGACATGAAGATATCATTAGAGAATAATGGGGTGAGAAGGGAGAAAATTTAAATATTAGCAAATAGTAGGAAATGAAACATTAAAAAAACAGATTAGTGCTGCACGTAAATTTCCCCCCCAAACAGAAATAAAACTCAGAAGTTCTGCTAGACAAACTTTATAATTCGAGTCCAGACTATTTACATCATTGTGATTACCATGGTCATCACTGTAATCGACAACATCATTATGTGTCCTTTCAGGACAGGGACCCTTTCATGGGCTATTTGTCTCTGGCCTCACACAGTCGTCTGTCCGGATCAATGCAGCAGATTTGATCAGACCCTTTTGGTTGCATGCCGAATGCCAACATCGCCATCACGCACAGTAGGAACCAAATGGGGGGATCGTTGGATTGATTGGTGGGACTCCACTGTGCGAGCCAGCAAGTCCCGCAATCAGGGCCCCACCGATCAATAGCAATGATCAGCAGCTGGGCGTCCCACCGAGAAGCATAGGGGGCGGCCGCACGGCCCCAAAATATCAAACGGATCCAGACATTGCTTAAAGAAACAGAGTCCCGCGCGCGCAGGATGTGCCACCGGAGTCCTCCCACTCATTTAAGGTCCTTTCACACTGCTCTCGTTAATGGCCCGTGTCCAGAGTGGCTCTTGCTCTTCTCCACTGAGACATTAGCGCGATCAAACAGCCACAGCTCGGCTCAATTTGGACATTAAAGCCAAAAAGGACAAGGGGCTCTACAAACAGTGTATGCAATAAAAAGGTAGAACAAGCAGGTTACAATTATGAGTAATGAGTTTCAGTTAATTAATCACATCTTCTTGCAACTGTCCATCATAACCATGACACAAATCATCACAACGTTCCTTCAATGCAGCAAAAGTCTAATTCATACAATGTCCCTCCTTATTGTAAATGTAGATGATCAGCAAAGACATGTTTGGTGTCTGAAGTTTACTTTCTTAGTTTTGCACTGGAGCTACATAAGGCGAATATAGCTAAAATGTAGCTATAAAATACATAACAGTGTCAGAGACTATGATCTATACGATCTATGAGGTCTATGAAAATGGACAGTTGTCCAGTACGTTGCAAAAGACAGAGAACAGGCTTCCTGTACTTAACTTACAGTCAAAATGGTCCAGCTATTCATTAAGTTATTCATTTTAAGGAGATATTTCTGAGGATATTAAACATAATCCACTGGAATAAGTGAAAAAACAGGACTTCTTAAAACTGGAGTTCAAAAAAAATGCTAGAAAGTTCTGAAGAAAATGGGACTCTTAACAGCCACCTGAAGACCTGGTGGACACCAAAACTGCCCCCATCAGATAAACAGCACTTAAAGCTTTCATCTCTGAGAGAGAGGAGAAAATCAAGCTGCTTCAGATCTGAAAACATCCACAGGTGTTTCTGTCCATCCTTCCACTGTGAGAAGATGACTCAGCGCTATGGGTCTGAAAGGATGTGCAGCTGTCAAGAAGCCTCACTGAAGCCTCAAGGAGACAGACACATCAAACAAAGAACAATGGACTGACCACCCCAGAGTCCAGACCTCAACACCACTGAATGTGTTTTGATTACTTCAGAAAATCAGAAAACCAACTTCTAAGACTGAACTTTGGAAGAAATATCTCTGCAGATTTCTTTGAAAAACTGATTGGGGCATTAAACCTAAAGGGTGGACACACCAAATAAAACAAAGATATTTAGTTACAGAACATGTTTTGAATAATGTCCTTAATGCTTGTTTTATTAAACAGTTAAACAAATGAAAGGTGGTCTCTGACTTTTGCACACTACTGTAGATAACAGCATGCCATACAGTGTCAGAAACCACATAAGCAAGACTTAGTAGTAGTTAGCTACATTAGCCTATATATAGATATATATAGATATATATCTTTCCTTGGATTTATGGCTGTAGGTGAACTTCTCAGCTATTTTGGGTGTGAGGCAAGTGGCTCTGCTGCCATGTTCAAAATAAAAGAGCATTTTCGTGGCCCTATATATCTCTGCAAAGAGCTACTATGCAGGGAGCGCGCCTCTCTCACAGTGAGCTGGCCACAGTGGCTCCCACGGATCGGTGCAACAGCGTGTAAAGTGACAGGCAGAAGATTAGGACATCTAATCCTGGCCGAGTCTGACTGTTAGGGTCACGGGGCCAAAATCTGCCACTCCTATCCTCTCACTGTCCTCCGTCATCTGTTCCTGCTGGCCAGGGCCGTGCACGGACAATGCTCATTCAGTCACACGTTCAGACACTCACCTCACTCCGGTCCAGCATGGACAGCACACAACACGGCGAGACTCACTGACCGTTATTAGAACAGTGACTGTAGAATAGCGACTGGTTTTCAGTGAAATACGTTACTGTAAGGGCGGTATATAAATAATATGATGATACAATAAACAGGTGGGATTAGCATCAGTACTTTATATGAAGCTACAGCAGATCCTCTGCATTTCATATCATGATTGAATTTTATGGGTTCATATTAAAGGGTCCATATCATGGAGAAATTTCCTACCTTTTTAAATAAAACAGTTTGATTTAGTGCATAAATAATGTTAAATTTTCAAAACGTACAATTCACTCCCAGCCCTGCACTCCATATATGGATATTTAGGTGCAAAATTTTTTTAATGACCATTTCTGTGATGTCACCAAAACCAACACATTTGCATATGTCCACTTATTCACCCTACGGCTGTTTAGCTCCGCCCAGTTTCCGTAAAGTTATAAGGAGTGCTTTAGCCCAGACAGCGTTTTGAATGAGGCGCAACACAGGCAGCCAATCAGAACAGAGCTCATTTACATAGATCAGTCATAAAGGCACAGGGATATAGGCTGGAAAATGGTCATGAAGAAATGACTTATCATTTCATTTGGTACATAAACCACACAAATATCATAAGAGAACCAACATCAATGCAAGAAAAAAAGAACATTGGCCCTGAACTGAAAAACACCCTAAAAAAAGAGCTACACTGAATTTTCTTGATCCAAATCTGTACATATGTAAAGTATATTATATAATACAATTTTGTCTTTACCCACTTTTCACAGATTATCAGGAGATAAAAAAAAATATATCTGCGTTGAACGGACAGCTGTTTGGATTTGACTGATATTGAAGACCAATATGGCTGATGTGTGTATTGTACACTAGAAAAACAGAATGTTAAGGCAACGCTGGGCTCCAGTGTTAAAATATATGGATTTTGTTCATTTTACTGCATTTGAAACCCTACAGAAATAAATGTTATATTTCTCTATAATGCTGATCGAGGTGGATTTATTCGTAATTTTTATATATCAGCATTGGGGCCCAAAGATCTGAGACCACTAATAAAAATACTTGTATTTTACATTCTTTTCTAACTTTATACAAGCTTTAAAAAAAATAATAACAAATTACATTATCAGTATAACAATTTGACTGAAAAATAAACTGTTTGATATTTTCAGAATTTTGTAGCATTTATGTTCCCCTTTTGACTTAATGACATTCTTGTCAATAAATCTTGCGCAAAAGCCTCTGATGAACAGATCAAATCCCCCTGAGAGTCGTCTGAACACAAACTTCAATGGAAGTGATGAGACTGAAAAAACACTCTGACATTTCTGTACGAAAAGTGTTAACATGGTCAGTGTCACGAATTTGTTTAACTCTGAATAGTTACCTACAAACAGTGAAGACTCTTGAATATTTCATCTTCATTTCACCTGTCATAGATTTATTTGATATATGTTTTTCATATAACATGTATGCACATGAGAAATATCAGATATTAGGCCCAGAATTCCTACGTCGGCACATCCGTATGTATTTTTTCAAGGGGAAAATGATGCATACATTGCAATCAAGTCAATTCAGTGCATCTCTTTATTCTAATAACTAATGTCCAAACTTTTGGCCTGAGTGCAGTGTAGCTAGTTCATAATGCAATTCTTGCTGTTACGATGCTGGTATTCACCCTCATTGGGAGCTTTATAGCACCTCCAGTGTGCGTGGTGTGAGGAGCATACCGAGTGTGAAGAGGGGCTTGCCACTGAGGCAGGTGTTTTCAAGGTGTAGCTCTGTCAGTCTGCTGGAGAGGAGGGCTTTTGACAGGGCCTGCGCGGGGTACTCCAGCATGGGGATGTTACAGGCATCCAGTCTCCACAGGCATCCACTCTGAAGAGACCAGACAGCACGCCATCAGAGAGAGAGAGAGAGAGAGAGAGAGAAGGAGAAGAGGGAAAATGGCCTGATTCTGCCCTTTCTGCGGACTGGCCTCTCTACCTTCCCAGCCTTTCATCAAACGCTAGCCCGTCTGAAGGAGCCGAGAACGTCAAAACTGAAAAACAACTGTGACAGGAGGCTGCTACAGATCTAGAGGCCATTGTTAGGCTTCCTCCCCTAGTCCACCACTTCAAAAGTGTCCAGATTTTTTTATTCCTTTCTTTTGTTGTTGGTAAAAATTCAACTGATCTCATCTAATACCACCTAAGAGCATCGCCTTTGGTTTGACCATTGAAGTCCGCGCAACCACGAGGGGTAGTTCAACTGTCTTTCATCTAGCCACGCTGCTAATTGAACATAATATCCACGTGAACTTAAGTGAAGTGTAATGATATCCATTAAAATCAAGTGTGAATACAGCAATATCCTGCGGTGTGAATATTTTCATCTCTGATGCATGATAATTCATTACTTTCGATGCACCTTGAATACAAATCAGGTGGATCCCGAGAATACAGAAAAAGGGCATCGTCTGCACTGAAACAGCAGCTCTGTGTCTTCCGACTCATAAATCAATGCGATGGAGAAATTACATTTTTGTGGAATCTTATTTAAAGGAGCAATGAGTGGAGTTTCTTCATTAAAACTGAGTGAAATGTTCAGAAAGGTAAATATTAGCCTACTGATGCCCCAATGGTCCGAACAAATAGTAATAATAATGATAATAATAATAATAATACCAATAATAATAATAATAATAACAGAAAATTCCATAATTTCATTTATAATGAGCTCTTCCTAAACCAAAGTATCATATATATATATGTATGTATGTATAGAGAGAGAGAGAGAGAGAGAGAGAGAGAGAAACAGATATATACACACATGTTTTATCTCTGGTGGGTCTATAACAATTAAATACTGTGTCTATGGGTTGGCTGAATGATGACCGTGAACTGAGGGGGGGTTCTCCATCAGAACTCTCTGTGGGCAGCAGGTCTCCCCCTTCTAAATACTCTAATAACAAAAATTCTTCAAATATACACGATTAACATAAACGGCATGTTCATCATTCAAAACAACATTTCTTTTTTTGCAAGTTTCTTTTATATTATCACCACTGTGATAAATGATCACAATATGCTTTTTTAAGTATATCATAATTGTTATCAGTACTTTCAGAACATGAAACAATTGCACGGATCATAAAAATGAACAATTACAGAAAACCTGAATAAGAACAACCAGTGTTTAGTAACTGTATAAACTATGCAGTAACAAGTAGTTGATTAGATGTTAGGCTGTTATGCCAATTGTATTGATGTATTTTACAATACTTTTGCATATTGTTAATTGCTTTTTCTTACTGTTCCTGGCTTTATTTATTTATTTATTTATTTATATATTTCTTAAAAAAAAAAAAACTGAATTTAATTCAATTTAAAATTGCTTTTCATAGCCTTTTGCAAATATGGCATTACTGCTTTGCAACCCCTTGGAAAACTTTCCACCCCAAACGGCAGCGTATTTTCCTAAGCCACCTGTACTCCACCTGTTTGAGTAAACGTGCGAGAGCCTGCCAGCCTGAGACACCCATACTCGCATTGGAGGAAATGTCCAGATGTGTGGCTGATTCGTAGTATAAAATCATGTCCAGCAGTGATGAAGCTCCCTACAGAAACAAGGATAACACACATAACAGGACAGTGATAATCAAATGTATACATCAATTCCACATGAATAAAATTAGCACAATTTTGTTTTTTGGTTTACTAACTTTTGGCAGTAGTTGTGTTGATTTAATGTATTTTACTGATGTGGAACCTACATACACATCTGAAACAAGTACATTCAATGTATTACTTTTGTCAGTTTGTTGGAGTCATTGTTGTCTTTTGGGAGCACGTACTAAAACGTTTATGGTCTATGAACTTACATTTTCCTCAAGCTCGGCCCCCTGCAGGTTGATCAGATTGAACTGGACTGATTTCAGAATCTCCTCGAGGGACTCACATGAGTGATAATCTAAATGAACACCTGTAGGAGACAAATCAAAACAGACATGTGGGTCACTCCAGTGTTTATTAAGCTAATCTCTATCTGTAGCATCTGCAGTCTACGGTTATTTACTATAGACAATGATTTTGACACGTTTTCTGTACTTAGTAAACAAAAAGAAGGATGATGCCAAAATTAGGGTGTGATTTAGCCCTTGTAACTCTAAAAATAAACTTAAACTTTTCAGTAATGCTTTATAATAACATGCCCCTATAAGTAGCAACATAACAATTAGTTAATAATTATAAAACTGTTGCTTGTGCATTAAAAAGTGCTACCATTTGAATTATTAACCATTTATTTAATGACATACAAACTATTAAAGCACAAGTTTGCATTAAAAGAAAGCAAACTTTGCTTTTATATGCTTTTCATAAATGCATTATATTTGAGTGTTATATGTGAATAAGTATGGTGTCCTATATATCATTAGAAAGTTGCAACCTTTTACTCTTTTTGAAAAAGTATATATTAACCACTTAAGAATGATTAAGCATTAAGCAAAGTAGCAAGATAATAATTCATTTTTATTTAATCATTTAAAACAGGCTGGTGACAATTTAATCCTTATTATTATGAACTGATTTTGTACACCTAAGGAAATGATTTAAAATTGCATATATACTTTATGAGTTATGTGTAAAAAATAACTAGATCACCATTAAGAAACCAAAATAAACGATTACATTCACCTAATTATCTACAGCAGTTTAGCCCCGCCCCCTCATACTGAGGCTATAAGGAGTGTTTCAGCTTAGACTGCTTTTTGAATGAGGCACGATGCAATGCGGCCAATCAGAACAGAGCTCATTTATCTATTTCAGTCCTAAAGACACAGTAGCAGGCTGTTTAATGGTTATGTAAAAATTAACTATGACTAATTTTGTTACATTAACCCACACGTCACATGTGGAAAAAATAAAATGTAGAGAATGAGCCTCTTAATCAAAAAACTACAAATCTGAAGTATATCAATGATTATATTTTAAAGTGCACTGCAGTTATAGTGGGCTGGGACTGACAAATATACTGTTTTCTAAGTGCTGCAGATCAGTTTTATTAATAATTAAGTTATTTATATCTAAAACACCCACATACGTTATTGTGAAGGAGATTTTATCTGTTTAAAATGACTTTTGTGTTTACAAATATATTAGTAGATGTATCGCAACTAGCACCACAATCATGGAGTCACCCAAAAACCGACTGACTCAAAATGCACTTACAATAAAAGTCAGTAGGCAGATGCTTCCCAGAAAAGAATGGCTTCTTTTCTGAGTGTATTTTGTATTTGTGATATTATGATCCATATAAACCCACCATACACTACAGATGCATCAGACACAGATTAGGTTGGAAACACGCTGGAGTATTCCTTTAAAAGCCAATTCAGCCCGTCCCCCCAGCAGAAATCAAAGTCCTAAAATCAGCGCAGCGCCATGTCAGCACGCACCCGTCCCAAATCTAACGGTGCGGACTTTGAATCCTGCGCCTCTGCAGATGCGCCTTGGTGGTTGGTGTTCATTAAAGAGTGAAAGAACGGCGCGCGAGCGCGATCACGTCCTCCGCGGAGAGGAAAATCAAAGAGCCACTGATTATTCAGGAACAGATGACTTTTAAACAAAGCCTAGAGAAACACTTTGATGGCCGCAGCAGTGCGTCTTTATTAGGCTCGCGCCGCACAAGCCCCCTTCGCCTCGTAAACTCTTATCTTCCTGGTCGGGGAGAAGCCGGATCGCTCACAGTCGTGCGTTGGAGAGACGATAATTTATTCATCATTAGCATAATCATTTGTAAAATTATTTTTACAATAATCACTTAACTGTACCGTACATGGGGTTTTGGTGATGGGGGGGTTAGGGCGGTATCCGAAATCCCATTTTTCTAATCCCCCTCTGCCATCCTCAGATAATGACACTGAGTCTCGGAGTCAGATGTCATCAAGCGTGCGACATGGTGCAGGGAGCTGGAACACGCTGACCCGCATTTAAAATCTCCCATCCACTCCTATCAATAGCCGCCGCAACGCTCATCAAAGGGACAGCGGCTTAATCCCAGCCCCGCAGGATCTGCGTGTAGATTTCAATTAAGAGGCCTGACAAAGTTTCCGATTTTATCTCGCAGTACGGAAGATTGCACTGTTTGGGTCCGGTCCCACAACGTCTAGTGAACACTGCAGCCTTTAAAATTAACAAACAAATGTTTAACATGAAGAATAAACCTAAACAACAACAAATAGTTTGTGCTTTCTGTGAGAAATCACGGCCTACAGTGCAAGCCTAATCCTTCTTATGAGGCTGACTGTGTCTCCTCATTATTACTTCTATATGCACATTCATCTGTGGGGACTGATAGATGGCTGTAAATCCCCTCTCTTTTAAAGAATAATATGCAGCAATAAACTTCATCTATGTCTTCGTCTAAGTCTATGTTAAAGGGTTCACATCATGAAAAACAATTTTTTTTACTAAATTTTTGGAATCAAAGAGTGTTAAAGTTCGTTCCCAGTACATACAGTCCATATTAACAGCCCATTTTGAAATTACTGTCTCTGTGATACCATGAAAAAAGAAATTATTTTCAGATATCCAGCTACTCAGCCTGCAGCAGTTTAGCCCCGCCTACTCATGCTGAAGTTATAAGGAGTGTGTCAGCCTGGACTGTTTTTTTAATAAGGCGCAATCAGAACAGAGTTCGTTTACATATATAGTATCAAACGGCAGTAACAAAAACAGCCTGTTTGATTCTAAGGAATAATGAAAGGTTGGAAGAATGAATTATGACTGTTTTTGGTACGTAAACCCACACGTGGACATCCGGGGAAAAATAAAATGCAAGAAAAATGTAGGATATGGGCCCTTTAAAGACTTCACTTCAAGAGTTTGCATGCACTTCAACTAGATATAGATATAAGATAGAGTACAATGTTGTATCTTCATCTACAGAGAACACACTTAAGCCCTACTGGAGCTGGATTAGTATTATCTGCAGAGGTGCTTTAATTTGAGTGATTACTGATTACTGAGATGTAAAGTCTTCTCCCTCATGCATTTTTTGTGGCATATTTAATATTTATCTGCACAACATGTTATTGTGTGGAAGTGTGGCACCTGTCGCACAATGCTGAGGTAAACATCTGCATGATGATGTTTTGATCCAGGCTATTTGGGGTAATTTGTGTAAATTACACAGATCCTTTATCCTGTATGAACTGGCCATTAAAATCATGCACAAATTACATCACCTGGCCTCCTCAGGTAAAACTAATCCAGCTGAAATAGCTAAAACCTTTAAATGTAGGATTTTTCTGCCAATTTTAGTACACAATCTCTATTAATTTGCTGACTTTAACTTGTCAACATATTAGCATAACATGCACAGCTAAGCTTTGTATCTCCATTTTTGTTTTTTTTTTCCGCTGCCGTTTACATTGTATAAATATTTCATGATTAAGGAACTAACAGAAATGTTTTTACTTCTCTTATAAAGTTATCATTTTGGAGATTTTCCACAATAACGTGAACACTCCTTCCATATGTGGTCCATATGTGGTTTCACATTCCAGCTCCTCACTCTCATAACAGAACTTAGTTCCATAGTAGGTATTGAACAATTCATAGCAGATACTAAATAATTCACAGTAGACACTGAATAATTCATAGCAGATATTGAAGAATTCATAGTAGTTACTAAATAATTCATGATAAATGTTATATATTTTGTTGATTTTCTAAGTGAAAGTTAGATAACAAACTCTTTGTGGAACAAACTTAAATATGACATTTTAAGAATACATTATATAATATATTGTTTACAATATCCTACGACCCAGAAGGATAAGCTGCTTAGAAAATGTGTGTGTGTGTGTGTGTGTGTGTGTGTGTGTGTGTGTGTGTGTATTTACAATATTTAAAAAAAAAACAGTGTACTCACCCTTCAGATCAAAACACCTGGCTCTTTTATACAGGCATGTAATATTCTGCAAGAAAAGAGAGGAATAGATAGATAAATAGATAGACAGACAGACAGACAGACAGACAGATAGATAGATAGACAGATAGATAGATAGATAGATAGATAGATAGATGGCAAACAGAGCGCAACATATTAATAATTTTTATGTCACTTTTTTCATACAAACAAATTATAGGTTTCAGCACGTTCACACTAAAACCATGAATTATGAATTTCACTCCATTTACTGTTGATGCAAATGTTCCCTTTTAATTAAGCAGGGTATATTAATTAGAAACAGCTGGTCATCTGTTGACGCATTCATTTGCCCATTGCCTGCTCTACATACATATAATTTGACTGTGTCAGTCTGAGAAGCAATATTAATCTCTAAACAGTGGGACGAGGTAAGCATCTCTGCCCCTAACAAGCATCAGAAACACTAAGAATAGAATCCACCCAGAAAAAAAAGGTAAAATCCTTCATCTGAGAATGCGACGTGATCATTTATAGTATTTTTCATGCTTCAAGTGAGAGCATCGGTTTCATTTGGGAAAATACCAAATAGAGAGGAAGCCAATGGTTTATTTTCAAACACTGTCTGTCTGTGTTTTCTGTCTCTGTTAAAGCGTTCTCATTCAAACGACCTACATAAGAACACCAGCACTGATAATGATCTCTTTGTTACTCTGGGAGGATGAAGTGCAGAAATCATTTGCAGAGTGATTACAAATGCACTAAATGTACAGAAGTGTAAAGAAATCCCATTTACAGTGCATATCATCACTGTCTGGACTAAATCTTCCAACTCCAATTATGTCATTTTAAATTTTTTACACTGTGTGAATATTTCGTAATGAACAGACCAATAAAAATGTGTCAGAATTATTTACAATAACATCATTTCTCTCAGGGTCAATAAAGTTCTCTCTGAACACTGCTTTAGGGTCCATATGTTCACATTTCAGCTCCTCCCTCTCATAACTACAGAACTTAGTTCCATAATAGCTGCTGAATAATGCTTCATAGTATTTACTGAATAATTCATAGTAATTACTGAATAATTCATAGTAGTTACCGAGTAAGCCATAGTGGTTAATAAATAAGTCACAATAAATAATTAATAATTCATAGTAGATACTGAATAATCATAGTAGATACTGAATAATCCATAGTAGATACTGAATAATTCAAAGTTACTGAATATTTCATAGTAGATACTGAATAATTCACAGTAGATACTGAATAATTCAGAGGAAATACTGAATAATTCAAAGTTACTGAATATTTCATAGTAGATACTGAATAATTCATGGTAGATACTGAATAATTCATAGTAGATACTGAATAATTTACAGCAGATACTGAATAATTTAGAGTAGATACAGAATAATCTATAGCAAATACTGAATAATTCATAGTAGATGCTGAATAATTCACAGTTGATACTGAATAATTCATAGCAAACACTGAATAATTCATAGTAGATACTGAACAAGTCATGGTAGTTATTCAATGATTCACAGTGGTTATTGAATAGTGACGATATGTCCTGTAAGTAGGATTCCTTTGCATATTTGTACATGTAGTGCATTTATAACTACACAGACGATTTCTGCGTTATGTATACTAACATTCAAAAGATTGGAATAACACATTTCATATAAGGAAATATTTTAAGTAACAACTTAATAGAGAAGATGTAAATACTCTAAACTACATAACAGACTTTTAAAAAATAGTGTTATGTAACAGTAAGGACACATTTTTTCATTTAAACCTGAATATAAACAACAGAAAGTTTTAGAATCATGAAAAATGTACAACAAACAAAAACTAAGACAAGCAAAGTGAAGAAAAAATATTTAGGATTCTTTTTTTCCAGGTCACTTTTCAGATTTAAGCAGACCTGACAGTGACCATGTCAACACCTTCATACTAAATGGTCAGATTATTTTTGAGTCTCATCTCTTCCACTGAAGCTCATTCAGACGACTCTCAGGTGGATCTGACCTGCTCATAAGAAGCTTTTGTACAAACTTACGGAGTGCAGCTGGAGTACACACTGTCATTAAAGCAAAGAGAGGGACATACCACCAAATACTATGAAATTCATGTTAAAATTTCAAAGATTCTACTTTCCACTCAAACTGAAGCATTTTCATTTTTTGCAGCCCACTGTAGAGATTGAAATAGATGATAAAAAGTAAAAACGCTCTGATTATGCTGAAAGAAAGAAAAAAAAATACATCGATTAGGAAACCTGTACAGCCCAATATGGCAAATCTAGCAGCGAGACAGCAGATGGCAGATGGCATATAGCAGCTAGTACATATCAGACTGATCAAGGTCCTAGATCAATCTGCTATAAACATTAACAAGATGTCATATGGGACGGACTGTTTAGAAGAAAACAAATTAGACGCCTGTGAACGCTCCCCATAGTTTCCTAAGCGCACATGAAAAAGTCTCCACATTGACGACTCGGGGCGGCACATTTCGAACCTTTTGCCTTTTGTTTGATGTTTTTTTCCGTCTTAATAAACGTGGAGATTTCCGAGGCCCTTCGCAGCTCAGCAGTGTTCTGCGCTGTGCATTGCGCGAAATGAAATGAATAAGTGCCAAACGTACTGATGTGTCAGGAGGGAGAGAGGACAAAATGAAGTGATAAAAAAGAAAGCCGTGCCTCCTTCAGGCGGAGCGGGACAACTTGACTTCCACACGAGCCATCTCCAGTGCATTTCTCATTCTAGCCCTCAAAGAGCAGCGCAGACCCACTGCAGCACTCCGCTGTCTGGGTGGCTTTGTATTAACGACTGTTTTAGAGCATTTTTCCGGGGCCCGTTTAATTAGTTGCAAAAAAAATGATTTCAGAACGTTTTATACAGGAAAAAAAAGCTCTCAGGGGTTAAAATCAGCCGCACATTTTCCTTTCAGCATCTTTTCTGCAATAAAGGATAAATTATTTAAAATAACACGACCTTTTATCTCACACCCTTTGAAGGCGGCAAATTAAAAATGTAAATTGAGGTGCTAATTAATATGCAAATATATTCATTCCCAGTTAACAATTAGCAATTAAACCTGCAGTGTCTAGAAAGAGCATGGACAAAATTAGTAACTTAATTTATCATTTAAAAAAATGAAAACATACACAGAATTTTTTTTAATTGACTTTTGAAATGTTTCCCGCGTCTTTCGCTCTCTCTCCTCATCTCCTGAAAAATTTAGAGAAAGGCATTTTTTTAAAGTCTGTATAGTATAATGTTAACATAATGCAAAAATCTAGAGATCAGATATGTGTTGATATTAGATTAGGTTGCGTATGAGGAATAAACACGTCTCATTTCTGTGCTGCAGAAAACTTTAATCAGTGAATCAGTGCGGTCCAGAGAGGGGCTGATGCACATTAAAGTTTAAAAGTGGGGAAGTTATTTATACTTGATGGTGTTTAGATATGAGTGACTTTTCCCTCCGTGCTGGAAGTAGGATGGTTATTCCATATCAGAGAGGCAGGAGCTTTCTGATGAGCGCTGAAGCTCTAAGAGGAGAGGTGGGGGTTGGAGGGGTAGCTGGAGCTGGTTTTACTCCAGCGGGGAACGCTTTTGGTTTGAAATACAAACTTCTCCCAAAACCTATGTCTCATTCGGCACATGTTACAACTTTTGATGATGCTTTCTCAACTACTATAGCGACCAGCAGCACCGTGGACTCTCCTGTTCCTCCTTTCGCTCTGTCGCTGATGAATAATAATAACACTTCCAGTCCCCTCTAGAGTTTCCTCCTCTATGTTAGTGCTGCTACTGATACAGGGCTGGATATAAAAGCTAAGGAGCGATGGAATCCTTCAGGACAAACACACAGGGACAAAGAAACGGTCACTATAGTCTTCTGAAGTTCTGCAGTCAGCAAGATGCCCATATAAGGAAATCTGAGTCAAAGCCATTTTTCTCAATGGGAAAAATCAGTGGCGTTTTCGAAAAAAAGTGGTAAACAAGAATGTTTCAAACACCACCACCCCCACCACCAGAGTGCCACATGATCCACTGAACTACGAGGTCGTTTAGCAGTCGAAATATTAATATTGCTGCATGTTGCAAGCAAGTTCACACTCCTGCACGTGGGACTAACACTGCGTAAAAGTAAGTCTACTTCGGCTTCATTCCAACAACACCAGGCACTCAAAATATAGGCTGGTGGTCTATGCGGGGAATCTTGATGAAGTTGCCTTATGTCTTATGATATCAATTCAATGTGCAGCAGACTTAGCTTGGGTCTACAGTTATATGTGAAAGTTTCAACATACCCCATTAGAGGACATTTTTTATTTGATGTTATGTTTTAAGTGCACAATTTCTATGTAGAGTTTAACATATTGAAAAAAATAAAACTTAAAGGTGCCATAACTTTTGCACAGGTCACATTTTATGTTTTATTTTCCTCAATGTGATAAATTCAACAACTAAACAGCAGTAGTGTGTCGAAATGTGTTCTCTGTAGAGGATGTGTGACTTATTTTCACTTACAAAATCAACAAAAATATGGAATTTGCCCAAATTGTTGCAACAATATTTGTATTTTGACTATGTTATTCAGTGGATCCAGTTATATTTGAAGAAATAAAATATCCACGTTTGAAACATTTCTGTTTACTACAAGTGCAATAGTAGCAATTTTCGAGAATGCTATTAATTTTTCCCATAGGCAAAAAAGGCTTAGACCCAGAGTTCCTTATATGGGCATAACACCAACTACAAAATACATACGTGACTTCAGAGCTCCAGTAACTCAGTCATCATTCATTGTGAAGAAAAGTTTATTTGCTTCATTTTAATAAAAGAGTCATCCTACATCTGGATATTTAAGTAAATGAAAGTTTGGTCTCACTTTATGTGGATAGTCCACTATAGCCCCCATTGATTGTCTACAAATGTTTAAATTGTTTACAATCTATCTGTTGAAACTCAGTTGATTCTAAACAGTGGTGGGGTTGGGGTTAGGATTTGGACCTGGGTGAGGGTTGGGTTTAGGTTTTGGGTTGAGGTTTAGGTTAAGGTTAGTATTAGAAGTTTAGAGTTAAAGAAAATTATGGTCAATTTAGTAGATATTTAGTTGAATATAACTTGAAAGTAAATTATCTATCTACAGTAGTATCTACAAAGTATCTATTATGTGGTTTACACCTAATTGCTAAATGCTATCTTTTTAAATGCTGAAATGCATCTTAAATCTAGTGAACTTATCTAGAATTTCTCATTATGAGGTTGTTGTTAGAACATTAGAAGATTATTCAACCTATTTCCAGACTTTTACTAGATTTAAGTAAACGTAGGTTTTAAGGTCCAACTTTAAATGAGCTTTTTCCCAGGAGACAGGTGTGTTGTTGTACCTTTTCAGAACCTAATATTTTTAACAGAACAATAAAATAAAAAGCTGGACACAAGACCGAGTACAAAATATAAATGCGATGGAGTACGCTCTTTAAAAAGATGGTTCTTCAAAGTTCTTTAGTAAAGAAAATAAACACCCTTAATAAACCCTTTGCATGATTAAAGGATTCCTTGCATAGTGCAGGGTTCTTCAGATTGATAGAGAATCTTTTGTATATGGTTCTATATAGAACCGACTAGGGCTCTTCTATTATTTCTTCACACAAAATTATCTGTCAGTGGAATCTGATCATTTCACTAGACACAATTACTAGTTTAAAAAAGCGAAAATGTAAAGAAATAAGCTAAATAATGATAAATATTAGATATACAGACTATATTTAGCATGCTTTCAATCATCAAGATGGCCTTTTTACAGTGCAGCCTTCTTTTGTGAGCAAATGGAAATATAGCAGATGTTTTGTTAATGTTCCTCTCCAAACTCAGACCAGCAATGTTTTGATTAGGTCTATATAACACTGTAAAAAATGGCTTATCGGTTCAACCTAGACTTAATGTAGTAACAAACAACCGAACTCGTTTTATTCAACTCAAAAAAATTACACTGATTGAAAGAACCATTCATTCAATGTATTTGTTTAGGTTAAATAAAACTAGTTAATTTACTCATCACCACATGAAGTAATGTTTTAGGTTGAATCGATGAGCCATTTTTACAGTGTTTAGGCGTTAATGAAACTAAAACTTGCTTGAAAACCTACAGTAGAATGTCTAAACCACTCTTTTTTTCATAATTAGGTAATAACCAGCAACAATTCTGCTGAAGATTATGCAGAAAAGGTAGGCAGGCCTACAAGAAACGTCCCTGCAAAACTCTACAAATGAATTAGGGAGTCTGAAACTAAGCATGGAAAAATAAATAATTAATTAATTAATAAATAAATAAATACTTGGTCTGTGCTAAGCTTTAGGAGACCCCAGGTCCATTGCTGAAACCCATTGTTGTTTACCACCCTCTTATGAAGACGTAACCAAAAGCAATGCTGTTTCATCCACTTAAAACATTTCAAAGAAAAGTGAAAGCCCGCGGGTACAATAAAAGCTTTAAATAGTTTTCCACAGCCATCCTCGAGGGACTAGCCTGCCTGAAAATACCTAATTTGATAAATATGCTCTTTAAGCAGCGAGTTCCATTTTGCAAAGCCTTATTAGGAATTCACATGCAGTCTTCAAACTAAATATCTCTCCTTTTAGCTGGTGCTTATCCATACATATTTTACTCTTTTAAGGACCACCTACATTACTTTAAATGCAATTGGTCTCATTAGCACCTCAGAGATAATACTGAGAGCGTGGTTAATGTAAGCACTGCTAAGTCTCTAATTTTCAACAAATAATTCTCCTTGATCTAATCGTAAATTTATGCAGAGGGGAAACTGATGCTCTTAACGTTGCTGGTCAAAGTAAAATAAGTGAGTGCACGGGCTGAATTATGCATGCGTGCCCGTGTGTGTGTGTGTATGTGTGTTCATGCCTGAGTGTATTTGATTCTCATTTACTTTCATTCTTCAGCGCGGTTATTGTCTTGTTGTGTCTAAGTTCAATAAGAATGCATTAGATTAATTAACGTGCTCTGTGAGCAGGTTTAATATTTTTCTTTCCACTGCATTTTTTACATTTCATGTCCTTTTTAGCTCCCAAACAATGTAATGCAGGTCACAACCTCTGTATATTCATATCAAACATTAGTATTGCATTTATGTGACTTTGTTGATACAATAAACCAAACAAAATACATGTTGGTAACCCTTTGCTGAAGGGCAGTATTCATAAGGCTATGTGACACCTACATGGCTCATGCTTAACATATTAGGCACAGCTCCAAAAGTCAGTATGTACATTTATGCAGTTGACCTAAGATTAAATAATACTTTTCCCTCATGATTTCTCTGATTTTTCTTTTTTTATCCTGTTTCATAGTTGCTCTGCATCTGTAAAACAGCTTGTCACAAAACAAATTTTCAACATTTGAGAAACCATTTTTAATATAAAACAATATTTTTGAGAGGTTTAATGTTTAGGAATTTGTAGAAATCAGATTCATGTTAACTTTTTATATCAGTTACATTATACTACATTTGAAAAAAAAATATTTTATTTACAAAATTTGTCACAGAGATTTTGGTCACTGGTGTTATCAGGACTCTATGTTAACAGAGTATTTTCAGCTCTATTAAACTGCTTCCTGGGGTCAAGGCTCATCAGAGAGGAAGCTTCTCAAGGCATGCGTCACTGGTGTTATGAGCTTTAATGGCTGGGTAATTCAAATTTTGTCAAAATAATGCCGAATATAATTTTTATTACTGATTTTAAATAGTTGCACAAGGTCACCTGACAGATAATGAGTCAGCCAATTTACAAAATCCTAAGTTTTAACCAGAATGTCACTGGAGTCACTGTCACTGGTGTTACACCATATTCATACAACACCAGTGACTGTAAAATATGTTTGGAATTAACCTCTCCGTTTTGCATATATGATAATAGGAGATGTTAAGGGACATATTAAGATTATTTAGTTTTGGGATGAAAGAAATTGATTTTTTACCAGTGTATCCACCTGAATTCCCACTCCAAATGATAACTGATATAACCTTTTATAAAGGCTTATTCCAACAAGCATCAGTTGTCATAAAGGCTGCTTTTGTGAATGTTGATGTTATTTCACCCCAGCAAGTGACCCATGTTGGAATAAGCCTTTTTAAAATGTTTACATAAGTTTGTGTCAGCTGTCATGAAAGGCCAGCACATGGTCAGAAAAAAGGTTCTGTGCAGGTACATTTCTCGTTCATCGAGGTACTAACAATGTAAATGTACCTTCAAAGGTACAACAGTGGTTTTAAGGCCCAACTGCGTACTTAAAATGAGTTTTTCCCAGGAGGCAGGAATGTTTTGTACCTTTTTAGAACCTAATGTTTTTAAACAGCACAATAAAATAAAAGCTGGATACAATACAGAGTAGAAAAATACAAATGTGATGGAGTACACTCTTAAAAAAAGGTTCTTCAAGGATTCTTTAGGAAATAAAATGAACATTCAAAGAAAACTTTGCATGATTAAAGGGTTTTTGCATAGTGAAAGGGTTCTTCAGATTAATGGAGAATCTTTTGTATATGGTTCTATACAGAACCTTTTTGAAAAGAGTTCTATATAACACCAAAATGGGTTCTTCTACTATTACAATGTCAAGCTTGTAACAATACTTTCCTAAAAGGTTCTATGCAGAACCATCTAAAGCACATTCTTCATTAATCTGAAGAACACTTTCATGAGGCAAAGAACCCTTTAATCATGCAAATGGTTCTTCGATGGTTCTTTAGTAAAGAAAATGGTTCTACATAGAACCATGAACACTCAAAGAACCCTTTGCATGATTAACGGGTTTTTCTATTGCTTCAATGTCAAGTTTGTAACAATACTTTTCAAAAAGGTTCTATACAGAATCATCTAAATCACATTACCCATTAATCTGGAGAACGCTTTCATGATGCAAAGAACCCTTTAATCATGCAAGTGTTCATAGTTCTATACAGAACCATTTTCTTCACTAAAAAAACCCTTGAAGAACCATCTTTTTTAAGAGTGCGGTACAGTCATGTTCCCTAACTAAAGGTATTGAAGACGTACCCCTGAGAGTACCGCCCCAGAGACAGTTTAGTACCTTATTTTGAGAGTGTAGGTGTCATGACACCTTACAAATGCTGCTGTTGGAACAAAACCTTATATCTTTAAAATGGTAACTTTACAGGAGAAGGAAAAAACATACTTTACTTTTAATGTAAGTCAATGGAAACCAGACTTTTTGCCAAGTCTTTTTGGGTCATTTCTTTTGGTCCATTTATCATGAAATTTATACACAACGTAAAGAGCAACAGGTATTTTCAAATTATGTCAAAAACTGAAAAACGACAAAAATGCAGATGCGAGGTTTTGCTCCGACAGCAGCGATATGCTGCCTTAAAGTGCTACCAAAGTGGCCACGTTACCTTTATTTGTTCCTGTATCTCTGCTTTGGGCTCCACTCTGTGCTTTCCGCAGCTCTGCTTGTAGGCCAAAATAATTTCTGTCAAGGTTAGACTGTCACCTAAATTCGAAAAACAGAAATCACCATCACAAATAAAAGCCTCAACGACGACGACCTTTCATTCCTTATCTACTAATTTACTGCTTATTATGTCTTAATGAGCTGTCTGCAATTAGATCTACTGATGAAAGGATGTGAAAAATGCTTTCTGTTCCTAATACACTTCTCTTTGCTTCATTAAAGCAAGGTAAATGCATTTTGGGCTGGGAGATTACGTCTCGGAGAAGTGATGAGTATGAGGTGTTGAATGGCTTGCGATTCAAAGACAAACAAACAAACAAAGCAATCAAAGTAATCAAACAGAGAATAAAACCGTCAATACAATATATGAATACAACACAATAATATGAATATAAAGTATACATCTCATGCACATAACAGAACGTGCCCAATCACAGAACTGTAAAGATATTGAGATCTTTAATTATGTTTGCAGGTATAAATAGAGCTCAACAGATGGGTTTGCCAGCCAATACTGCCCCCAGTTTATCAGTATCAGCAAATGTAGAATATTACAATATTTGACATGAGACATTTTCATGATACACAGCATGTATTACAATATTATACTTTACTGGGATTCGGTGTGTTGGAAATGATATAAATACTACCAAAAACTATGATCACAATCATTTTTACTCAACAATGAACATACTGAGCTGCACCAAATCAGACTAGCAGGGCTAATTATGGGAGCTTCAAATAGGCAAAACCATCTAAGAATGGCCCTATCACTGGGGGGATCGTATGTTGGATTCCAAGAGATGCAACAGCCATCTGTGGCCTGGAGTCCAAAAGAGTATAATGGTTATAAATCTGAACCCAGAACTATTTGTACCCTGGTCAAGTGTCCATTTCTTACAGAGCCCCTAAGAGGCCGTGGTTAAAAAATAAAAAAAAGTTAATGACATTGCGCTCCCTCGCAAATGTTTTGCGTTCCCTTGCAAACAAAATGCATTCACTTGCGAATGTTTTGCGTTATGATGCAAACAGTTTGCATTCGCTTGCTTAAGCTCAGACACGGAGCAACTCATTGAATTTTATGTTGATCTTGGATTGAAATATAAAGACATAGTGTCGCTTCTCAAACTCAAACATGATTCTGCTGTTAGTGACTCAAAATGAGTCTGAGCTCGAGTGTCCTCATACAGTAAAAGGCACATTTACAGAGACTGCAGAGAACAACTGCTGAATAAACTCAGCACAGACTGGCCAAACTGGGAAAACAGCTTTTAACGTTAGCAATGCTAAAATCAAAGCTCTAATGTAGGCAATGTTGTTGGGGACCTCTGGTCCTACGTTTGCTTGCTGTATTTATGCATATATTTTGTGAGGGAATGCAAAACATTTGCGAGGGAAGGTTTTTTTTGTTTTGTTTTTTTTGCGAGGGAACGCAACGTCATTAACTTTTAAAAAACCACGGCCCCTTAGGGGCTCCGTAGTTTCTTACACAACAGAACCGTATTCAGACTTATCTTTAGCTAGCAAAGTTACATGATTTCTCACATAAATCTACTGTAACAACAAACACAAACAACAGTAACGTTAGCTAGCTTAGCAACCACTGGCGTAGGAACAGAGGGTAGCTCATTGGTGGTGGCGCTGGGCCTTCTTTTAACCTTTTTTAAGGCTTGTGTTGAGGTGTCTGTTCAAAAATAAAGAGTTTTTACCTTAAAACAAAAACAAAAAACTCATGCTATGTTTGAATATCCTCCCCTGACCAGCTTCAGTGGCCTCAGCTTTGGCCTCGACGCAGCGCTGGGTTGGTAGCTAGGTTAGTTAATCTAGCTAACCTAGTTAGCTAGCGTTAGCTAACTAAAGAGGTTAGTTTTCACCAGCTTTGAACTCGAGGTCAGTAACGAGAGCACGACGAATAACAACGACGGCGAATTATAGCTATGAAAACGGCTTGTTTAGCTAACGTTGACGCTCAAATTGTCAAAAAACACTCTGAAACGTCTGGTAACGTTAGCCTCTGGCCGCGTCCCAAACTGCATACGGCCACACTAAATAGTATATAAAACGTAGCACACCACCCTTAGAAGTGCTTACAGTGGTGAAGTGTGTAAAGTTCCAGAGTGGGTTATTTAGGACGCAGCCTGACCGTTAGTCTTGTCTCAGTCTTGTAACGGTAGAACTTTAACGTAACCTACATTGTCTGGTCGTCTAATTTCAGCATAATGCCACCGAAATAAGATCAATAAAACCATTACAGGACTCAATGTTAGTGAAAGCGTTTTTTAAATAGTAGCTTTAAGCTCTATTCGAACAGGATTAGTTTTTCATGGTTTGGTTAGGTTTTGCCAATTTAAATGGTGCAGCAGTTACCCAGATAGCGAGCACAGGTTATATCGGTCCGCTGGCTTGATAAGATCGGTACCCCACTGACTGTTTGCTACTGCTGGTCAACCCTCGGACCACCCAGATTACTGTCCTACATACAAACTCTACCTAGTTTTTAATCTCCTCAAACAGATTTTCAATGCACACGGACTTTTATTGTAGAAAATAAACAAAATAAAAGACAAATATTACAGACAACTGAAAATAATGACTAGGCCTGATATAAAATAATTTTATAGAAAATGTTGCTGACACTGTGCTAGATTAAAATCATTTACTAAACTAATTTACAAAGTAAAACTAAAAAAAAGGAAGGAAGGAAAAATCAGTAAATTTGACTGTGAGTGGAAAATGAGCGATGATGTGTGGAATTTTGCCTATTACTCTGCTTAACCACCAGTGGGCCGCCTGGAAAATGCTGAGCAAAATGCCAGTGGACCACCAGCTTTGCCATCAGTGGGCCGACAGCGGTCCTATATCCTCTTGGTATCAGGGTTACATTCTGGCGCTAATAACTGTCGCAGCATTTAAGGTGGAACGGGAAAATTCGAATAGGAAGCTGACTGCAGCTTCATCAGAGAACATAAGTAGGCATTTCTTCGAGTGTCTCCATAATGTTCAATGCCAGTTTCTCAGATCAATAAACAGAAATAATACAATATGCTTAGTTTCTCATAAGCCTCTGGAGTCCCTGTCTGAATTGTTTTCAAGCAGCTATTCAGCTCTGTGACTTCAGTGGCAGATTCATAGTAGCAAATGTGTCTCCCCTCAATGTCAAACTCACTCCTACGCCTATGCTAGCAACAATGGAGGAGCTTCAAGTTCATCATACTAGGCGTTTTATATGAAAGTCACAGACAGTAGTTCTGGATAGCAGTTAGCAGTTCCGGGTCATGTTAATCTCTAGAAAGTACTCTACACTCTTAAAAAATGGTTATTTAGGGGTTCTTTAATAAAGAAGATTCTATATACAACCATGGACACTCAAAGAACCCTTTGCATGATCAGAGGGTTCTTTACACCATTAAATGTTCTTCAAATTGATGGAGAATGTGCTAGAGATGGTTCTATATAGAACCCTTTTGAAAAAGTTTCTATATAGCACCAAAAGGGGTTCTTCTGTTGTTACAATGTCAAGCTTGTCATAGTAGAAGAACCCTTTTCGGTGCTATATGTAACCCTTTTCAGAAAGGTTCTATATAGAAACATTTAATCTTTAATCATGCAAAGGGTTCTTTGAGTGTTCATGGTTCTATATAGAACTATTTTCTTTACTAAAGAACCCTTGACGAACCACCTTTTTTAAGTGTGTAGAGAGAAGAGTAACCAAAACAGCATTAGTAAGGAAGTATGGTACGGGTCACTTGGCAGTGGAAATGATGCCAAAATGTGTGATTGTGGATTTAGAACCGGACTGTACCGCGCTGCCCAGTAGAAAAATGGTTGGCCTCACTCTGTATGAGTGGGTCCTCCCTCTTCGCTCTTTGCTCATCGCTCAACACGATGCTGTCCAATGAAGTTGCATTAGTGGCAATTTGGAAAGATGCAGTGACGCTTCACGTGACTCAGAGGACACATGCACATGCCAGCTTTAACCCCCCCCTGCTTGGTACCATCTAATCCCATGAGTCATACAGGATCTCATATGAAAAAAATATGTCTGGTATCAACTTGTTAAACTTTTAGTGCTTGATTGCAGCAAATTCACCACTAACAAGGGTACAGCCCTCTAACACCCGCCCCCAAATTCTTGTTTTTCTTATTCAAGGGATGTTTATTTTAACCATATTTCCCTTTAGAAGTGACACATCTACATGCTTAACTGGATTTTTTTGGGGGGAACTTTTCACCCATGCTACAATTTACATTACATCTATGGCAGGGGTGTCAAACTCAACCACTAAAAGGGCCATATTGAAAAATCTCAGCAAATCTGCGGGCCAGCTGTGTTTTAATTTTGCCATTTTGCCGTGACCCAAACGGGCCATTGTTTATTCAAAATATGCCAATACTACAACAGCAAAATATGCATTGAATACTGATTCAAAAATAATTCTGAATAAAAATAAATTGTTTTAGGTATTTTTTAAAACTGCCTATTTGCTTGAACTAGACACCAGGATATGGAAAAGATCGAATAAAACATTGGCTGACTAGAAAGCTTGAAGACTTTAGATTACAGACAGTTATTAGGGCAATAGTATAGACAATATTAGAGTTACTTATGAGTGTCCAGACCCTGGGCAAAAAGAGATAGCTCTTGGTTGCGGCACAGGCATTTTTTCTTTTTGTGCAACCGCTGGCCCTATGGAACGCACACTATGGCTATGTTAACACAGCAGGTAAAAGTGGCCCAAATCCAATCTTTTTCCTCATATGTGACACAGATGTGAATCTGTATGTCAGTGTAAACAGAAAAAAACACATTGAATCTGACATTTTCAATTCCGATTTGAGATGCTTTCATATGTGGTACTGAAATCCGATATGTATCTGATCCGTGGCAATGCGACTCAGATTCGTATTCATGCGACTTTTACATCAATCCAACTCGATATTCGTCATAATGTCACGCTACTGAGACCTCATAAACATTTAGGCTGATGTTTCTGTACCAATAAATTAAAAGGCACTTATCGCAAATGCTCGAATGAAATGGCCGAACGCAGCCGTAAGAGAACGAGGCTGCAGCGTCAAAAAGGTTTAAAGAATCTGAAAACACGAACAAGAAGTGGCTGTGGCCGAATAACGTGCACTTTTTACGGCAAGCTTGAACACATTCTGGGTGATGAACCCAGCTGTCAACCACTGAAACTTCATAATCGCTCCAATAATGCCAGCAAAGATGAAGCTGAACCCTCCGGGAGCGAACCTGATGTCACATACAGGTCACATTTAAAAGATATTGTGAACAGCCAAACAAAAAATCAGATCTGGTGAAAAAATCAGATTTGGGCCACTTTTACCTGCTGTGTAAATGTAGCCTATGTTGCAGTGCATGCCAGGGACTGTAGTGCATCTCAGGGTGAAACGGGCTACTAAGAACAGAAAATTAAAATAATTTTGCAGGCCGAATAGGACTGTGTCACAGGCATGACTTGGTCCGCGGGCCTTGTGTTTGACATGGCATCTATGGGATAGTGACAGAATTATTGTCTGTTGGGCACATCAGCGCCCCCCTCACGCCTTTATGAGGCATTGGACTGGTTTAGAGACTTCACATTTAGTTCGTTCCCACTTGTTTACATTTATAAGTGTGGCTGTTCTCAGACATGTGTCCTTGTTATGAGATCACGCCTGGCCCCACGAGACTAGGTAGCATTGAGTGACCCAGCTACCAAGTGGAAATTAGCTGCGATCACCCAGCCTTAATTCATATCAGCTAAGACTACATGTTTTTTCTGTTCATTTGAGTGGAAGAAAGGGATTACTGAGAACTAACAGTCATTTCAGGCAGTAAAGCACTATTTAACTGAAACTATCGGAGAATAAAATTAAAATGTAAAGTTATTTTGGCCAATATTATTGGTTATTAGAATTTTAAGCTCCCTTAAAGCCAGTATCCATATCTGACATTAAATCTTCATATCTGTCGGACCCTCATTGTAACACTTTACCGCCTCTGAGTTTCGCCCCAGCACGCCAACAGGCATGTGCAAATCCTGGACATTAATTAATATTAATCTTATTAATTCATCTGTTTCAGAACATCTAGGTCACCGGGAGCCGCGAGCTGAGCAGCGGTAATTCTGTGTTATCATGTTTGTGAAAATCCACATGTAACGGCGAAGAGCAGGGAATTAAGAGTGAGGGACTTTTCCAATGAATCGTGACAAAAATGCAATGGAATTTACATGAAACCATAACAATCCCATTTTATGTAGCGGTTTTCTCAGTATATTGCCAGTATAAATAGATTTGCACAAGTTACAACTGTCATAAATGAAAACAGAAGACAGAATATTTTCATGAAGCTATTTTTTTGTCATATAGCTCTATTGGAATTTGAGAAATGGCAGCGAAAGAGTAAGGAACAGGTTCTGTTTAACGGAAGAGCGGCTCACCATCCCGTTGTGTGTCCCTGCTTTCAGCAAAGCCTGACACCATCTCCTCGTCAGGAGGAAAGGACACATGCTTTTCCCCTCTGCACTTTTTTCCAAACGGGCGTGCCGCCTCCTCTTCTGTGTGGCCTGTCATTGTCATGAGCAGCGCAGATCAGACATGAGAAGCTTCACTTGATGTAGGCCATCTAAGCGGTACTAGTCTGAATTAGGCACTAACGGCAGTGACATCCAGTAATATTTGATGAAGTAAACAGTCTATCCTCCTGGCTATACCCATACTAGCACAGCTATGGAAACATCATCCAGATCTTATTCTATCTGACAACAAACCAGTCAATGAACTCCAGGATCCACTGCGAACTGTTCTGTCGCAGTTCCGAAACACTCAGACGGCAGTTGGAAACTTAAGACCTGTGCTTAACACTTTTACAAAGCAGTTACAGGATACCACAGCATCAATTATTAATGAACCAAGTGCCTCTCAGTGCTGGTGGAACTCCATTTCAACATCAAATATGCACACAGGGATGTGCTGTGTAAGAACACAAATGAAATACTCGGATGAAAATGCATATTTGAAAGCTGTTTCTTAGTAAGACCAAATATAACCTACAAGCAACACAAAGGATCGTGTAGGAGGGGGAGCCTAAGCAGACAATAATCACTAACTTACATGCTGTTTAAGCAAACATGATTAATAGGCCACATCGCCCTTCTGCCACACCGGCTAGACAAAATAATAATGTAAGCTTTGTTCCATAAAAAAGGCCTTGAGAAGAAAAAGTCAAATTTTACATTTACACAAGAGTGGGCCGCTACTAGCTTCCAAAAAAAAACAGAGCCTATGCGCCACAGTATTCAGTCTTTATACTTTCTATTTATGCATAAATAGAAAACATTTATGCTCAAAAGCCACTTATATATCAGATACAGTCCTCAAAGACACTTAGCGAAGTAATTCAGTTTCAGTGTCTGCTTGGCACAACTTAGTAATCTTATTCCTATTCTCAGCCTAGACGTTGTCCTGTTATGACTTCATATTAGTGTCTTACAAGTACACACTTAAAAAAGATGGTTTTAAAAAAGGGAATGCATTCATTCAGTGCTTAAATGTTTCTTTGCATGGTGAAATGGTTCTTCAGATTGATGGAGAATGTGTTGTACACAGTTCTATATTATTTCTATATTCATAGTTCAATATAGTTCTCTATACATTTTTGAAAATGGCTCTATGTGGCAGCAAAAAGGATTGATTGTATGAAAATGGTTGTATACAAGCTTGACATGTGGATTTGGTGCAATATTGAACCATTCTCACAAAGGTTCTATGTAAAACTATGTACAACTCATTCTCCATCAATCTGAAGAACTATTTCATAATGCAAAAAACCATGAAGTGCATGAAGTGGTTCTATATAGAACTCATGGTTCTAAATAGAACTATTCCCTTCATCAAAGAACCCTTAAAGACCCATCTTTTTTTAGAGCGTAACACATATAAAGAAGGCATAAACACAGAAATTAACCAACCAAATTAGCCTTAGTTAACTCACATCTTACTATTTTCCTAATACAATTAGATTGAATTAAAATTCATTTCATTTTCAGTTATTTCGTAAAGATTATATCGATGATTTGTTAAGTTGATGACAACTTAATAACACGAAGTAATAAAAATGAACATTTGATGCCAAAAGAGTGTGTTGTTTCGCCCAAACCTTGCTGTATCTGTAGTTGTCGTCTTCAAATGATTAAATAACTACAAATCCCAGACTTCATTGCGGGTTCCGCTTTGACCAATCAGGTTCGTCGTGTCAGAAAGAGTTTTGCGGGAATTTTGGAACAGGGAAATAGCACAACATCGAGGTTCGTAACAGCAGGTTTTATATTATTAATAAATAGGCTGGGGCGAATTTATAGTGAGGCACAGAAAGAGGAAAGAAAGCTCGTTTAAACGATGTCACGCTTGTTGTGTCTTTTAAACCGCGCAGCCTTGAAGATGAGAAAGTTAGCTGGCTAGGCTAAGTTAGCATGCTAGTATTGAACTGCGTCAAACCTATTAGCGTTAGCCTTAACTTTAGCCAGCTGCTCTCTGCGTTTTCAAACCTATTAGTGACAATATTAAAACAGTAGTATGGTGGTGGCGGCATTAGCAAGCTGTCTTATGTTTGAGAAGACCACATGTTCGTGTATGCGAGCTGTCTAGCACACAGCACCGCCGTTCACCAGCTTCTAGTTCGTATTTTCCCGTTCCACCTTAAATGGTGCAGCAGTTGCATTCTGCCGGCCCACGTGCCAGAATGTAACTGCTGTATCATTTAAGGTGGAACAGGAAAATTCGAACAAGAAGCTGACTAGCTTTGTCTCGCCTGGCCGGTTTTTTTTTACTGGAAAAGAAAGTGAAATAAAGCTTACTCTTTATTGAGAACACACACGTGTCGTTTGGAAAAGAGAAGAAGCAGCTAGCTATTGATTCAATTCCTAGTAAAAAAAGTTACCTTATTTTGTATATTTAGGTTTATACAAGGGAAGTTAGATTTTAAACGAGGAATTTAATTTATTTTAACAACCTACCGTACTGAAACCAGCAACTCAGGGTTTGTTTAGGGTCTGTGACCTGTTATTTTCTTGTATTTAACGTAAATATTTACTATAAGCTGACATTTTTTGCTAGGAATTGAAATCAATTCTAGATAAACTGGCTCACCATTAGCTATTATTAGTATTTTGTAATTTATCTGGTAACTTATTCAGTTCATAGTAAAAGTCAGCTTGTTTAAAGCGTTTATGTTTAATAAAAGAAAATAATATTACAGTCCCTACAAAAGCTCTAAGCTGCTGGTTTCAGTACATTAGCTTGTTGAAGAAAGTTAAATTGCTCGTTTAATAATTAACTTTGCTTGCTTACCTCATGTCCACTCACTTTGTGTCATATCAAATATTATATCAAGATTGTAAAAGCTGATCGTATTTTGAAAACTGTTTTTTTTAATGCTCTGTGGATCAGATGCCACCCAAGGCCAGGTCAGCTGGGAAAGGGAAAGGGCCAGCTAAGAGAAAACTGGCAGAGGAATTCCCACCCGGAGAAATTCTGACAGACACAGCGAAGAAAAGCTGGAAACTTGGGGCTCCGATTGGCCAGGGAGGCTTCGGTCTCTTGTATCTTGGTAAGAGTTCATGTAATGTTTGATTCTTGTAAATGTTGCGACATAATTTGGTGTTGTGCTGTCCAGTATGTCACCTTTATGATGACTTGCGGTGTGGTTGTCACGCAGCAATATCGATCATTAGTGTTAGTGATACTGATTGATAACAAAAGCTGCAGTAACAGCAGTGTGACAGGACTCAGGAAGCATGGGCTTATTAACTTCATTGATGCAAACCGAAATATTTAAGAACACGATATTTAAATATTTAATAGAACATGAGAGGGAGTGGGTTATCGCGAAATAACATCACGGCTGTGATTTGGTCGCCGTAGATCATCACAGCCATGATGTTATATACGATAACACACAAGCTCGAGTGTTCTATTGCTTTTGTACAACAGTTAAATAAATAAAGTAATAAATTAATAAACTGGGCCGTGAACGCGGCGTTTAATATGTTTTAATGTTCGCAGTTCCTTCACCAAATTATAGTTCCTTAACGAGCAGCTTGTTGCTACGTCAGAGTAACGAACTCCGCTCACTGTCTGCAGTTCGTTCTCCAGCTCCTCACACTAAATTCCCGAATGGTCATCACCACTGAGCAGTTTTTTGTTTTCTATTGCAGCAGTTTTATAGCTCAGTCCGATTTGGTCAGACTCTGAAGATGAGACTGCACGTTTGGTGAATGGTGCTGGGTTCATTTCTGGCTGATTCCAGGTTGTTTAGCTGTTCTTCTGTCTCAGCTGCCGACTGAAAAGCTGCTCAGTGGTGATGACAGTTTGGGAATTTAGTGTCGTCTCATCTTCAGAGTCTGACCAAATCGGCTGTCGGTCAAATGTGATCTTAAAAGTGTCCATTTTCTGTTTGTGGCAAAGTAAGAAGTAAAAACTTCCAAATGGCTTGAGCGTCTCCTACAGCTGTCAAACTCGCTGCTTAGCAATGGCGTCTTAGCGGAGTGATACAGTGTTTGTGAAAAAAACGTGATGTTATGGCGAAATAACAGCACAGTTAGAACGCTTCTCAACCAATCAGCTTGCATGGCTGGAACCTGTTGTATAACATCTAATATCTATGATTGGAAAATAATGTGATATTGAGTTTTATCAGTACCACCCAGCACTAAGTTAATCTATTTGTATTGTATTTTCCATGTTAGCAAGCAATGATACGTCAAAAGCTGTTGGAGCTGATGCACCATATGTCGTCAAAGTGGTAAGCCTTAATGCTGTTTTTCCTTTTTGTAGTGCATACAGGACTCACTACAAAGTATGAGACTAAGTGACATTGTGTTAATTCTGCACCCCTTATGATGTTTGTTCCTCTAACAATATGCAGCCTTTTAGTTTGGAGTCAGCTGACACTATCAGACATATCTTGTTGACTCTTATCAGTATATCAGCTGTGTCTCATTCTTTGCATGCTTAAGCACGATGATAGAGCATAGCCTAAAATTAGAGAACAGTTGCTTCAGATTTGCACACTTGGTAAACAAACACAACAACCAAGAACAAGTATGTTACATCACTCTTGATAGCCGCTATGCAGATATTGATTTTGTGTCTTTTCTTCATTTAAATCATGACAGAACACTTAGTTGACCCCAATAATACAAATACTCACATATTTGTTTCTCTGTTTAGTGTTCGGAAACTTTGCCACAAAAAATGCAGCCTTAAATAAGTTTCATCACCAATTTTAGACCAGCCTTTAGACAGCACAGTTGCTGTTGTTGTTAATATATTGAAACTGTTACAGATAAATCAGATATAGCTGGTTTTGTTGAATGACTTACAAGTCATGCCAAGAGTCCACATCACCTCACAAAACAACAAACCGCACAGCTTTTCACGTGGCTGTTGAAACTGAAGTGTGGTGTGATAATATGCGATAAGAGACTGGTATACAGTCGAGGCATGAGAAGTTTGATAAGTCATCTTCAGTATGCGAGTTTCAACACCCCTAGTAAAATTATGTTTTGTTGATTTTATAAGCGAAAACAACACAATCTCTACAGTTCAACGTGTTGGAGGAAAAAATATAAAATGTGCCATAACTTTTACACAGACTGTATTTTTTGCCTCAGTTAACATTAAATAAACTGTAATTGTGCATTTTTTAAATTCTTTTTTTGGTACCCAAACTTTTGAATACTTTTGAATATATGCTCCGTTTTATCTCTTTCCTGTCCAAAGGAAAAGTCTTACAGCAGGTTTATAACTTTTGTTTTGTTCCACACACTGTTAGTACAGTGCAGGGCATCAGATGGGCGTCTAACAAAGCGGGTATGGACTGAAACACTGAATAAAATGAAAGCTTATCTGTTTTAGGTGACTAAAAAAAAACAATTAAAATATGATTGTTTTTAATGGTGATTTTGACAATCTGAAATATCAAGTATTCAAAGACTGTACGTTTCTGTTCGGGTCAGCCCTGCTAAACACCTGGTTATTACAGACCATGTTAAGTTCTGAGAGAGAGAGAATCCCTCTTTTCCATCAAACACAGGACTGCTGCAGATAACGGTCGCTGTTGAGCCAACCCACAGCTATACAGCTTGTGTTTATGGGCCAACCAGAACTAAGACTGTGTAACCAAAATGTGAAGAGAGCCATGTTTTGTGAGCAGTGATGTTGGTTTCATTTTCACATATTCAGATTTCTTTCTTTAGTAGCTTTCCAAGGGTGGGAGAGAAATGGTTCATATGTGTAAATTATCATAATTTGCAATCAAGACATTCCAACTGATGTAGAACTCATTGATTTCTGTGGACTGTTGTAAACACTACAAAAGCTAAGCAACCGTTTACAGATTACATCACAAATTCTGTGGCTTTGTTCACACAGCAGCTGAAAGTGGCACAAATCTGATCTTTTTCTTCATATGTGACGGTGATGTGTGTCAGTGTGAACAGCGAAAAACACGCTGAATCAATTCCGATTTGGGACACTTTCATATGTGGTACTGAAACCTGAAACAAATCTGATATGCGGTAATGCGACTCAGTCTGAACAGCCAGATTGGAATTGATGCGACTTTTACGTCAATTCTACTCAAAATTTGTCATAATGTCACAATGCTGAGACCTCATAAACATTTGGGCTGTTGTTTCTGTATAAACAAAATTAGACGACACTTATCCAAACCCATCCGTGTTAGAAGATATTTCAAAAGAAAGGGCCGAACGCGGCCATGGGAAAATGGGTCTGCAGCATCAAAGAAGATTTAAAAGACTGAAAGCAAAGTTTAAAGAAACCAAGAGCATGAATCAAAGGAGTGGCCGTGGCCGAATAATATGCCCGTTTTACAGTGATCTCAAATGCATTCTGGTTGATGAGCCCAACTGTCAGCCATTGAAACTACTTACTGGCTCCTGTGATGCTGGCGAAGATGAAACTGAAACCTCCAGGAGTGGCTGTTACTGTTGATACCATTTTGATTGTTTACCTCTGGATGAGCTACATGAAGCATTGCTCTTTTGCACATGTGGGTCAGTTTAGGAGCTGATCTGCTCAGGCTGATGGTGCATACAGGTTACATTTAAAAGATATTGTCCAAAGCCCAACAAAAACTCAGATTTGGTGAGAAAATCAGATTTGGGCCACTTTTACCTGCTGTGTTAACGTAGCCTTAGTGGCATTCTTTGGGCATAACTTGCATTTGCATAGAATGAAATAAATAGTTCCACCTCTGCATTTTAGTCTGAGAATGCGTAAGAATTTCTGTTAAAATCATTCAGATTTTGTCACAGGAACGATGCTGCCGGACCCCAGTATAGCGGATTGGTTTCTAAACTTGTCACCTTTTTTACTGCTCATGAATTCAGAGGTCTATACATGTAAACCTCAGAAAGGCAGTCAGTGGAAGCAGAAGATTGTAGTGTGTGCATAACTAGATGCGACTGTTTCACAAATAGACAGATTGCAATTGAAGTAACATCAGTATGCTGTACGTCTTCCCGCTTAGACATTTAATTTCTACTTTTTGGGATTGTCTTTTTTGTCATTTTATGTAATTGTTCTCACTTTTCTCATTTTAAGTTTGTATACAATAAACTTGCCTTTAAGTTTTGCTTGTTTTCTTATTTCTGTGTAGGAGCCGAGCGATAATGGCCCTCTTTTCTCAGAGCTGAAGTTTTACATGAGAGCCGCCAAACCTGATCTAAGTACGTCCTCATGACTACAAACACACCCTCATATGCATTATGTTCTGCATTATGATCTGCATCCGAGAAAAAAAAAGGGAAAGAGCAACTCCCTTAATTAAAGAAAGTTCTGGGCTCGGCACATGGGCCTTATGGAGACACACAAACATCGACTGGATGCCTTTGGTGGTGCCTGTGGTTGCCCTAAGGCCACAAGAATGCGTTTTATTTAATAACAATCCAAATGTCAGTCTCCCTTGACAATTAACTGTTATATTACTAAGGAATGCTCATGATTTATTCATTAGAATATTGTGATGTTGGTAAATATTTGTCTCACCAGCAGATTAGCTTGCGGCTGCCGCACTATTGTCCCAAAGGAATTATACCCTTATATTACAAGTTTAAGAAAATATATCTAGAATATTTTACTGCCTTTATTTACGGCATCATTTTTGTATTATTTAACGCTTTTGCTTTCAGTATACCTTAATTTATCCCTTAGAATGAAGAGCTCATTTGAATCATCCTTGCTTGTTATTATTTATTATTATGATATTATTTGATTTGATTAGATTTAATCATTTCCTTACTTATTTATCCTGACTAGGGATGAACTGATAAGGGAAATCAGGTTCGATGCAGATATCAGATATTTTTTCATGTGCATATCTGTTGATACCTATACGTAAATATTCATCAAATAGAAATTGAGGCTATATCGCCCTGCATTAGCATCACAGAGCAATATAACGTTGCATAGAGTTACAAATGCAGTAAAATTAACTGAAACATCCTGCTCTTCTGCAGTACCGTATATACATAATCAGATATAGGGGTGAAATTTAAATATCTGTCCAGTTTTTATTTATTTTTAGTCTTATTCATCAGCTAATGCTAATATGATTTAGATATAATTGTATTTGCATTTGCATTGCATTTTAGCCCATTCTCTTATTTCGTTAGTCAGATATGTTCATATCTCACTCATAGTACACAGGTTAACAGCATTTCTTAAACTGGTTCCAGTTGGCGCTTGGATAAAGTCACGGAAACTGAAGTACTTAGGAGTTCCAAAATACTGGGGTTCAGGACTTCATGAGAAAGGAGGAAAGAGGTGAGATCAGTTTGTGAGGTGAACATCGTGATGCTTTTTTTTGGAGTGGTAAAATCACTGACTGGGTATGTGGCGACTGTGACTTTACAGGTACAGATTCATGGTCATGGACAGATTTGGAACAGATCTACAAAAGAAGTTTGAGCAAGGTGGCAAGAGGTTTCCACGGAAACTGGTCCTTCAGCTTGGCCTTAAACTTGTGAGTTTTGTCAAAGAGAAGTAAATTGATTAAGCACCTGAGCGGAGTTGTATAAATAGGGGTGGCAACATGATGTTTATTGTTATTGTGAATTAGGTCACAGTATACTTTTCTGACTGTAACGTGAATATTGTCAGTACTTAAAGGGGAATTCCACCAGTTTGTCTAAATGTCTTCATAAATCAGTGGTTGAAAGGTAAACAATGTCATTCAGAGTAGTTTGATGCGAAATGGTTCATTTGTAGAGAAACTTACTGACTGATTTATTTGCCATAGTGGTGATAGGAACCTGAGGTCCTGATGTTTACAACACAAATATAGCCATTTTATTCAATATCCAGAACCACCAATGTACATGTGCCTTCTGAGGTTTTTAAATGTAATGTTGATGTAGGGGTAGCTTTTAGAGGCCTTAAACTCTTCAGATGTCTGGTTCCTGTCACTAACGATATGAACAGTTCTGACTTGTTTAATTCTAGAGAAACTTAGTATTTGGCATCGAACTACTCTGAATGACTTTGTTTACATCTTAACTATTTATTCATGCAGCTTTTTTTTGAAAAATCGATGGAGTTCCCCTTTGAAGAACACTGAACAACTGCATGTTTCATTACAATGAGAGCATTTTTAAAAATTTTGGTATAATTCAGTCTGGTTTGATGAAAATAGAGCAAAACTTCTTTAAAGTTGTGCTGATTTTGTACCTTGTACTTGAGTTTTTGCTAGATTTATTTGTTTTCTAAATATTATTATGCTTATTGTGTATCGAGAAAATGTCTTAAAGTGTCTGGTTGTTGTATTTTTGCCACATCGCCCGCGCCCAGGTAGAAGATGCAGTTCTGAGACCTGTATTCACCTAGAATGGGATTCTCAGCACTCTGGACATGTGTACATATGAGCCTGCACTGCATATGCTGACAACCTGCATGCATCTCATGGTTTTTCCCCTGTTCTCTCTAGCTTGACATTCTAGAGTACATCCATGAGCATGAATATGTACATGCTGACATTAAAGCCTCCAACCTGCTGCTCTCCCACAAGAACCCCAATCAGGTTGGTGCTGAGCATTTCTGCATGGTTGCTGTAAAGCAGGCAGTGGTTGCTATGGCCACTCTCATATATATCTAATGAGGATGTATGGTGGATTAGCAGTTGGAATTAGGAGTTTGAAAACATTAAGCATCCTGCATATTATGTTCTGTCCCCGTTTCTCTGCTGTTAAAATGGTTATTCCACAGCTCAAATGTTAAAAGACTACTCGTGCTTTTTTTACGCCGTCTCTTAATGAGATATAATTTAAGCTTTTCATGCTTAGCTTGTAAACAAGAGAGATTAGATGACTGCAGAGATGTGTCTGAAGCAAATAAGGTGGGGGTTGAGGCAGGGAACATTTAATTTAGAGATTAATAATGTATCAGTGGTGTATTATTAAATTGCTATTTTTAAACTTGCGATTTAAAAAAGTGGCCTCTCAGGATTAGCAGCTGGCTTCTACTTTTTTTTTTATATGAAAGTCTCAAAGCCAGTGCAATAGTTTATATATTTGGCTGTGGTATTAGGAGCAGAAGCTTAGGCTTTCTCTTCTCATGTTGTTTGAAAGCAAATACATAAATTTTGTTTTCAACACTCAGGTTTACTTAGTGGACTACGGGCTGGCCTATAGGTACTTGCCTGACGGCGTGCCAAAGGAATACAAAGAAGACCCAAAGAGATGTCATGATGGGACCATTGAGTTTACCAGCATTGATGCACACAAAGGTGTCTGTAAGTATATCTCTCAGTTCTTACTCATGACCTTTATGCTTATCATGCAGCAGCTTTGCTGAATTCAGTTCTTTACAGCTCCTTCAAGAAGAGGAGACCTTGAAATCCTGGGCTACTGCATGATCCAGTGGCTGTGTGGCCGTTTGCCCTGGGAAGATAAACTCCAGGACCCAGTTTATGTCAGAGACTCGAAAATTAAGGTTTGTCTGTGGATTGTGTCTTTCACTGGGGATTTGTCTGATCTCTGTCTAATCTGTTCTGCATCACTTTGCTTGAAAGGCAAAGTAGTCATTCATTTCAGTTATACTTGTTGGTTTTCTTGTCAGCTAAACAGACAAGACCAAAGACACTTGTTGGTTTGGTATGGCTAATTAGGCATTTTGGATGTTGCGTGTACAAATTGACTTTCAGCAAATTGGACTGATGTTGAGATTTAGAGGTGCGTGGTTAAACATCATTAATGATAAGCGTTCAGTTGTTGTTGTTGTTTGTGTTGTTAAAAACATGACAGTAAATACAAAGAAACAATCTAATGTGATTCTCTGTGTTAGCGTAACCATTTCCAAAGCTCTCCTTGAAGATGGCCAATATTTATAGTTACTATCCAATACTTAGTTTATCTAATAAGTGCTTCATTCAATTAAATTAGATTTAACAAATCCATTCAATGGTGGGAGTGCAGCGAGAAATCAGGAACCAAAACTATGTTGTTCTAACTGATTTATTTGTAACTTAATTGTTAATTGTTAATTTTCCTCTGTATTTCTGAATTATGAATTAACTTCATTAATTCTAACGTTGGCTATGATATGTAGTATTATTAGATCCCTTGTGTGTGTGTGTGTGTGTGTGTGTATGTATATGTTTGTGTATATGTCGTCGCCGTCAGAACAAAGCGCTGTATCTCTATTTTTGTCAGCTTTATTTACAGCTCAATACATTAACTTACATTAAAGTTGGGAATGTATTTTTATTTTCCCCCAAAAAAATATTAAATAAATAAATAATTACCATTTTGGAGGTTTTGTTACGACAGTGGTTATGTATGAACAATTGTGGAAATTCTGGGCACCCCTAGTAAAATGTTTTGTTTGTCATGTTTCCTTGATTTTTTTTTTTTCTTTTTTCCCCCTAATATATTAAATTGTGCAAGAAAAAAAAAAAGCTGAAAACGGCCGTATAAAAATGCTCTATAGTTGGTGCCCTATTGAGGATGTGTTAACTTTTTCACATAGAAAATCAACAAAAAAAGGAATTGAAGCTTACTTCGACATATTCCTTTTTTCCCCACAGATGTCGTGACAATATCAGAGATTTCATGAAGAGCTGTTTTACCACAGAAGGTGAACCAGGTGAGAGAGAGGACAGATAATGTCTGACCTGCAAGGTAACCTGCATTGAAATTCAGCCACTCACCGATATTTATTGACTTCAATATCTAAAGACAAATCAGAAATCTGGACAGAACTACCAGTGTGGTGGTAAATCCAAGTCCTTAAAAGCACCTGTGATTTCTGCAAATGAAAACAGGCTTTGTGTGTCAGCCAAGCAGTAATTGGTCTGAAGCACTTCCTGATCCTGATGCATAAACAAGAGCGGGAGAGCCTGTTCTCTCCATAATGAGTGCAGACCCGTTGATTTAGCCATAATGAGAACTAATGTATCAGCCCTGTGCTAATTCCCTGCAACTTCTCACTCTAACTTTAGAGAGAGCGTGACCACTTCACAATGGATGAGAGAGGCATAGGAATATGCCTTTGGCTCTGAACTAGCCTATATTCGGTGCTGTGCCATTTTCCATAGGGTTCCCAACTGGGAAACTGTATTTATGCATAACATTCAAGTAAAGCAAGACTTTATTTATTTATCCCCCCCCCCACAACACCTTTTATGGTCGACCTCTGCGTCGCCTAGTTTCGTAGTCACTGTGTGGCATGCTGTACTTTTGCAGAACTTCAGGGCTCTCTCTCTTTTTGTCGTTTAAAAATCAAAGACGTCAGTGGAGTCCTTTGCTCGGCAGCTGATATGATGGCACTTCTTAAGCTCTGTGACAGGCGCACAGCAGAAGGAGAGATTCCTCCTCGGGCTGTTGTCTTGTGCGTACACGTCGCATCCCAACACTGAGGTGATGGGAGGCGGCACGGTTAGCGAGGCCATCATGGCTAATTCTGTTTGGTGTGACTGTTTTAGCAGCCGACAGTAAACAACAGTTTGTGAGCAGCGAAGTATAAGAAACAATGCATGATGTGTTGTCACCCCTTTTCCACTAAACTTAGCCTCAAGGTCAAAGTGTCAATGTCTGCTGAGAAGAGACTCCCCTGCAGGAAGTTCACTGTCTTCCCAGCACTGCGTTGAATGAACACGTTTCCCTCTTATTTGTTTGTGAAATGTAAATGGCCATTTACTCCGAGGTTGGTGAACCTTCTGAGCACTTTAATAGTGTTTAATAGAGGCACAGGCAAAAGCTGCCATTTTAGTCATGTTTTCTGCATCTATATTTGCTGCTTTGGACACAAAAGGGCACTATGTTGCTATTATATTACAATGTCTAAATTGAGGACTAACCAGTATAAAGCTTTTGTGAACAACACTGATTTCTAAAGCTAAAATTTTTGATACCGGATAATAGTGAACGATAGAATTTTATATAATATACTCCAGTAGCTTTAGTTAAACTGTGCGTTACAGACTGATATTGTCAGTTGTGTCATAAACCACAAGAACCCACAAATTCTTACATAATGTAAAAGATATAAATATTGCATTATTTAAAGAGCTTGATAATGTTATAGCTAGGGCTGGCATTATATAGCATGAGAAGATCTGCCACCTCACAAGAGCTGAAGCTCTGTCGTGTTTGTTCGAGGCTCTGATTCCGCTCAGAGCAAGCATTAATGTTAACGTTAGCATATCCAACACTATTTATTTATTTATTTTTTATGTATGTATGTATGTGCTGGCTGGCTAGCTGGCTGTAAATCATGGACTTTTGTGAAAAGACTTTATGGGTTTGTTGCCCCCCCTGGTTGGAAATAATGGAAAGAACAATATTTATTGATAATTTTATCCCAGTTGATTAATTTTTCAACATTTCTTTAATGTCACAACCCGAATCATAACCAGTGTATCTCTCTATCAGGGGAAATGGCAAAATTCATGGAGGAGGTCAAGTCACTGGGTTACACAGACAAGCCCGACTACCAGAAACTCAGAAGCATTCTGCTGCAGGGCCTGAAGAGTATTGGTGCTACTGACGATGACAAGCTGGACTTCTCTGTGTCGGTCAATGGTGCAAGTCCATCCGCAGCCAAGGTGAGAGCCACCTTCAGCAACACATAAAAACAGGCAATGCACCACAGCCTTGTGAGCGTCTCTCAGTTGCAGAGCCTGGCACGCTCAGCGCAGCCCTGCAGTCGCCTTTTTGAAGCCTTTAAAAATGAGACCGCTTCAACCTTCCGTAATTTGTTTACCTGTTGAAAGTGGTTTCGAATTTAAAAATGTCTGCACACGATCCAAGACTAATTGTGCAGGTTAGTGGGGAAACGCTGCCAAGTGCATTGATTTTCAAATACGATTAAAGCGTGATGCTTTTAACAGATGTACCCTGACCACTGTTCATGTACACCATCCTTCCAGTCAAAACACTAACTGGCCAGTGCCAGAACTGCATTACATTTGCTGAAGGGTGTTCAGATTTGAGTGTTGTTCTGTTTTTTAATCTATTAATTATTTTTTTCCCCCCTTCCATTTTACGTTTACTGCATAATTTTACATGGAGTAAAATTGGTCTTCAGAAATGGTAGGTAGGGATGTCATGGTCAGTTATGTCAGTAATTAAGTAATTATATTCATTATCTTGTTGATTAATTAAGTGATCAGGAGATTAAAAAACAGTAAAGATGGACTTAAGTGGACAGTAACAAACTATTGTTGTTTTGGAATTCTTCCAAAATACTTTATTGGAAAAACGTAGATGAATTAAGACCAGGGGCGCAGCAATTCACATAAATTGTTATATCTGTCAGACCTACAGTAAAAGACAGCAATAGCAGAATGTATAATATGCATTATCATCATGCAAATTGCAAACTAGTGCATTGCTGATTCTTTAAGAAGGAAGATGAATGTGCTGGTCTTTTCGAGCAAAAAATGGCCTGGAGTTTAATATATAGAGAATAGTCATATTTTAATCACAGTCGCAATATTGTTCAGAAAAAAAAATATATAATTAGATATTTTCATCAATTTGTTCAGTCCTAGTAGTAACCACTGTGCAGCACACACCAGTGTCTAACTGTAATCACTGAGTGCTTCTTTTGTTTTAAACATAATTTAAATGTACTATGTAGAGAAACACCTGACTGGAGTTCAGTAGCATCCGCAGCCTGTCTTTTAAATAGAATAGCTTGACCAAACATGCTAATGTGGCTGACAATGAATGAAGCGTAGTAGGTACCAGTAGGCATAGCATTACCATCATGCTAATTGTTGGCCATTCACATTCATTCATTGTTAGCACCATTAGCATCTCTTGTGGCTTTATTCCTTTAAGACCCAAATGTCAAACACAAGGCCAGATGAGGCCCGGGACACAATCCTATCCAGCCCGCGAAGGTATTTTAATGATCTGTTCTATTCTTTAATATATCTATTCTATTAATATTAGCCTGTTTCACAGTGCGCTGCACTACAGTCCCCAGCATGCACTGCAACGTAATGTGCACTCTGACTCTCCTACCCCAACAGCAGTTTATGGGACAGTGGTTACACACCAGTCATATCACCCAACGCACTAGCTTCATTTACACCTAATGTCAGCTTAGCAGCTCAGCAATAAACATGCAGCAAAGGAAGGATGCCAGGTTCCCAGTTCAAGCAAATAGATAGGTTTAACAGACAGAGATCCTGGGGACATTTAACGGTGGCCAGTTCAGGTTACGACACAACATAAATTACAAATGAAATAAAAACATAGGCCTTCTTTGGCCCACGGATTTGTTGAGATTTTTTTTATATGGCCTTTTTAGTGGTTGAGTTTGACACCCCTGCTTTAAGAGAAGGCGGTGTTAGCTTGTATGACCAAACTGTTCCTTTAAGAACAGCCAATGCTTTAGCCACTGTTGCAGCGTCCAGCACAAAAAGCCTGCAAAAGCAACAAAGCCGTTGTGGTTCAGGTTCTCTCCAGCGTCTGGGTGTTTCTCCCGCCGGCCCCTCCTCTCCCTCCCTCTGTCAGGTCCTGAGTGCCTGTGTTTATTCCCTGCTAATGTATCACAAATTTGCTGACACCGTAACCTCGGAGTGGGCGCAGGCCGGCAATCAGCGAGCGCACTTACGACAGGGGAGGCGACGGACTCTCCTCGCTTTCCACAATGCAGTTTGCATATGGAAGGTGCCACCAGGGAGCTGGCCTGTGCCAGCTGAGGGTTACCTGCCCACTGCAGTTATTGTATGTAATTATCGAGCCAATCTGTTCAGCTCAGCAGGGTCTGGATGGTAATCATGAGGCAGCAATTGGCAAAATGGAAGGGAAATGTGAGGAGGGGATGGGGAGAAAAAAAGTGAGGATGATAGTTCAAGTCCGAGAAAAGGGGCGAGCATTCATTATAGAGTCTGAGTGAAGGAGAGGGGGAATTTGATTGCTGTCGTTAAGTGCATCTTCTTGGTAACCCCTGGTTCAGTTTGTATGATTTCCTCGGATTCACTTTTCTTTGCGTCACATGCTCAAATTAACATGGGGTGGTGGGGGGTGGGGATTTGAAACGGTTATAATAAATTAACTCGAACTATAAATGATTGTTTGGAAATTTAAAGTGGCATCAGTAGAAAAAGAAACTGCATCCCTGACCTGTGATCTGGAATCTCGAACATCAGGTTCACTCTAAGCAGTGTTAAAATAGAACTGTTGTGCTTGATGTTTCAATGATATATTTTTCTTGCTGGATTTATGTCCCTGCTGGATAGCGGAGTCATAATTACATTTGCTCAGACGTCACGCTCGCACTCAAAAGGCTTAAGGCGCACGTAATAGTTTCCTTGTTTATGCCGAGGAAAGGTCCCTTTTTAATATTTGATTTCAACTCCCTCTAAGGTTGCTGTAGGCAAGTGATTTGACCATTACTTTCTTCTTTCTTTTCCATCCCTCTTCATTTTTTTTATTCCATGTTTGAAGAGTGCCAAGCGAAAGAAACCGGTGGAAAAAGGGGCATCTTATGATGAAGCCGAAGGCTCCCCTGCAAAGAAGAGTCGGCCTCCCCCGAAGAAGGGTAAGCTCACGCTTCCTGCAGCGTGTTAGAGCAATTTCTCCCATTGACTTTAGACACGACCCGTGACCCGTAGAAACGTCACAAAATCCGACTTCAGAACTTCTGTTCTGCGTCTGGTCATTGTTTTAGTTCAGTCATGTGAACAGGTGCTTTGTTAACATGCATTAAATGCATGTAACTTAGGTGGAAATTCATGTTTTTTTTTTTTTTTTTTTAAATGTCTGCATAATTCAGTCGTTGAGAGGTAAACAGAGTCATTCAGAGATTTTTTTTTTTTGATGTTTTGATGGTGAAATTCACATGCTCACATTTCTTTACAGTGGTGGTGATAAGAACCAGGGGTCGAGATAACTACAACACTAATATAGCCATTTTATTTATTATCCAAAAGAAGCAGTGAACCTACACCCCTTCTGAGTTTTTATATGTAACGTTAATGATTGTAAAATAGTGAAACCCTGAAAAAACTATGGAACTGTTTTGCTCTGCATGTACCTCTCTGCCATTAATGGGTTTTAAAAAGTACTTTTTAGGCCAAAACATTATCTCGAAACTGTCATAGAAGAGTGTCTCATATTCATAACTATTTTTTTGTAAGAGTTTTGCATGAGGGAGCTTTTAGAGGCATTAAATTCTTTAGACGTCGGGTTCCTATCACCACCACTGTGAACAATTCTTGGTAAATTTCTCTTGAACAGGGCATTTCACATCAAAACACTCTGAATGACTCTGTTTGCTTCTTAATAAGGGAATTATGTAACATTTTTGGGGGGAAAATCGATGCAGTTCCCGTTTAGATGGTTGAATGGATGAAACTGTCTAAATTTGCACTTTTTTTGGTCTAATTAGAACCAAGGTGTAAAGTGTTGATTTGCATTTTGTAAAGCTACTAAAGCTGTGCAGTGCCTAGAGGCCACAAAGGGGACGAGCAGCTTGCAATGTATGGGTGAAAAAATGGAATTTGCCACCAGTGAAGGGCGGTTTTAATGCAGTACCATCAAAGAGGACTGTATTACAGATTGCAGACTGTACAATATGTACAGTCATGAAGCAGTGGTAGATACTTGGCATATTATTTAAATAGGCTAGAACAAAGTGGCTGTAATTTATGTGTAAAGGACTTTTAGATTATGTCCCACTTGTAGTCATCAGTTGCTTTAATAGTGATGAACTTTAGACTTTAGGGCCAGTGTGGGTAGCCTTTTCTATAGCCTGTGTTTAACAATGTGCAGAACTTAACGGCGTGAAGAAGGCCGGTGTGAAGAAGGCCAGTCCGAAGAAGCGTTTGGTAGAGATGGGCACTCAAACCTCTCCTGGACTGAAGAAGAGCCGCGGCAGGCCCAAGAAGAACGCATAACTCTCTCCTCTTTTAGACTAGTGCAACTTCTTCCTCTCCTAAAACATTTTTCTATGGTCTGTGTTTGTTCCCTAGCTGTACATTTTTTGTCTTAAACTTTCGCAGGATGTTGGGCACATTCTCAGTAAAATAATAAATAACGCAAAAAAAGAAAAAGTATGGTTGCTTTGAGTAGTGAGTTATTTTCATCCTCTTTGTAATGGCTTGAATAATCAAGGCTGTGCGGATGAGGTCCGGAGGGGATTGCTTTGCCCTCGATAAGGAAATCCCTGAAGGAGCTCGCAGAGTCCCGACTCTTTCCCCGCCGCTTCGCTCTCTTGTTGTGCAATGAAAGGCGTGGCGGTGCGGCTGGCGTTCTCTAGTCTGTGCGAGCGGCGAGCTGCTCTTTGATCGGGGCGCTGAGGCGGGTGAAGGCGCGGCAGACGCTGCCGTGTGCGCCAAGGCGTTCTTCAGGGAAGGGCTCTGTGGATGAGTGCCTTACCTCTCCGCTCTTCCGCCATTTGATCAGCAGAAGACAAAAGACGAGCACTTGGGTCCCGCTTTTTGTCACTCCAGCTCCAGCTCCACTCTGCCTCGCCCTGCTCTTCCCTACCAGGGAGATGTCTTCACAGAGCTATCATTAAAAGTTAGTTGTGGGTGTAATACTTGCCTCCTGCTATCATGTATTGTAACTTTGTCATTGGTTTTGATAGCATGCAGACAAGCGTTTGCGAGCGTATTTTTAGGTCCAAGTGTCATCTTAGACGTTTCTTACCTGTGCTACGTGCTCTGACATTGAGAGAGGGCAGGAATAACTCTTGAGATAGATGGGAAAAGATGAATAGTGCACATGGGCCTTAAAAAAAAAAGTGTTAAGGTAACAAAGGAGGAGCGTCTCCAGAGTTTGTCACTCTGCATTGAGATTACAATTATTCGAAAGTATAGACACTTGTAAAACTGCTTTAAAAACAGAGGTATGTCTGTTTGTTCATTCGCAGTAATGAGTAGAATGCGAAAAGCCCGAGAGAGATGTGAATGAGACGTGGCAGTCTGTATTTTGGCTGTGGCTTGAACTGGGACTGAGGGGTCATGCCAAATTCCTCTACATGTCCCCGGACTTTGTCCAAAAGAGAGGGTAATTAGAGCTGATGTGCAGGACCGCAAATTAACTGACAGAATGAAACTGATTTGTCTGACTTTTCCTCATAAAGCAAGGCTTCATACGTTAAATAAATCTGAGGAGATTGTAAGAATTTCCTACCCTCAGTGGTCGAATGACGGGTAGTCTTTGGCAATGGCTTGTGAAGTTTCTCCTCACCATTGCAGCCATCCCATTCTCCAATCCACTCTTTAAGTTGGTTTTTGTTTTTTGTTTTTTTTTGTTTTTTTTTGTTTTTTTTTCCCCCCCCTCAAGCTGAGCAAGACCACAGCCTTCCTTGGTTGCCTTGTTAACTCTTGTTAGCCGCCAAGTTGGGCCCGCGTGAACAGCGAAGAGGGGGAAGACGTTTCTCCTAATGTTTGTTTTTGGAGCCGAGCTGCAGGAGCCCACTGCTGACGCCTTCATCGATCGCTCGAGCAGTGTGGAGTAAAGTGCACCCCTGTGTGCTTTCTTCCCCTTCCTTGCCACTGACCTTGGGGGCGCACAGCCATTGCTTCGCAGTAGGGGGCAGTAGCACATAATGATGGCACAGACAGGGGGGTGGTGGGTGGATTTGAGGTGGGGGGACAACAGCGCTTAAACACAACATTACCACCTGTTCCCCCCACTGGAGGAGCCGCACAGGTTTGATGGGCCTGACTGTGGCCATTGATTGACCTGCGTTTATATCCACTCCCTTGCTCTGTGTTTCTCCCAGGCTGCTGGGATTTGGCAGAGGGCTACATGCTGAACCATGAATCTCTCTCAGCAGTGTTTTAAACTGCGCTCTGGACCCCCTTGTACCTTCTGTAATATGGATGTCAGCTTCACTCACGTCCAATCCAATAACAGTATCTTGTTTTTCTAACTTGAGCTGTGTGACAAGACACATTTCTTATCACAAAGCCCTAAAAGGTTAACTTTCAGATGATGGTGAAGATGGGTGGTCGGTGGTCGGCGAATGAACGAAACTCTGCTAATAGCACAGCGGAAAAGTACTTGAATAATTGTACTTTGTTACTATATTTAAGTGTTATTTTGGAAAACTGAGCACTTGATTTCTTACTCATATATATATTTCTATATTCTATTCTAATTCTATACTCATATGTTATATTTGAGTAAGATGAGGAGGAGGCAAAGGAAAAAGTTTTTACCATTCACATTTTCATTAAGAAAATACACCTTACAAATCTATTTTTCTTTTGACAAACAGGTGAGTTTTCATAAATTTTCATGTGCTTATTAAAACCTTCAGCCAAACTCATGGGTGTAAAGTTAAACTGTCCACAAATATGCTAATTTGTCTTTATTTGAAGAGTATTTTCACATGTTTAATAAAGAGATTTGAGTGTAAAGATTCTTCACATTGTGTAAAGGTTCTGTACCAATTCAACTGTTCTTTCTAGAACTGACATTATGGAGGTTTTTTAAAAAGACACTCTAAAAAGGGTCTTCACATTGCCGCATTTGCTTCGTCAAGAACCATTCACTGACGGTTTCTTTAGGTTAACCAAATTGGTTCTTCTGTGGCATTTAGTAATGAACCCTTTTTGACGCCTTTATTTTTAATAATGTATTTACTCCTTACTCTTATATGCTTGAATATGTTTAAATGTTGCATTTTTTGGTTTTTTACTTTCACTGTTTTGGCTTCATACTTCTAAAAGTGCCTGCACTTCCATGTAAGTATGTTTTCTCTGTACTTTAATTTCTTGTTAAAGAATATGCAAGTAACTATTTTCTCACCTACATTTAATAAACCACTTTTCCTTGACAGCAATTTTCTTGAAAGTTATCCCTGTGAGTCTAGTTAGTACCCCAGTTAAGCATATTTTATTTCATGTTTTTTTATTTTTTTTTGGTCACATTTAGTTTTACAAAGATGTGGATCCATTGCGTAAATTGGAATATTAGACTATTTAAAATTTGCAGCACAATGTTATCAGTGGTGTAAACAAAGTCATTCAGAGTGTTTTGATGCAAAATGGTGCATTGTTGTAAAACTTACTGAATCATTTCTTTACAGTGGTCCTGATCGGAACTGAGGATCATTATGTCCACAGCCCAAGTATGGACGTATCATTTACTATACACGTGTCTTAAGAGTTTTTAAATGTATTATTGATAATGGTGAAATAGTAGAAATGAAGATATGATTTATTCCTTTATGATTCAAAATATTTTTTTATTTTTTATGATTTTGCCTTAGAGCACCCTGCATGTATTTTAAAAATAGGTTTTGGGCCAACACCTTTTCAAAACTATTATAAAACAATGTCTCAGGCATCAGGCAGCATATGTTTAACATTTAATATAATAACTTCCTGTGAGGTAGCTTTTAGAAGCATTAAAACATTTAGTTTTTCTAGAACGGAACATTTCACATCAAATTACTCTGAATGACTTTCTTCATATCTGAAGAGAGAAAAAAATGAATTGTCTTTTAAGCCATCAGAAAAAAAACTCCCTAAGAGTTTGAGGAAAAACCACTAAGAGGAGCCAAGACTCAAAAGGAGAAGCGATTTTTCTCTTTTCTCTGGGCCGCACCAGATAGGAAAGGTGAAGTGCACAAGTTTTACAAGAGGTTGTTGGTCCATTCAGAGGGAAGATCTGTGAGGATAAGCCACTGATGGCTGTTTAAAAGTCTGGGTCCGGGTCCAACATATGCAGGATGTCAAAGATATGAGAACACAGCAGGTAGAATTTCAGTACTGTAAGGCCCAATCCCATTTCTTATTTATACCCCTACCCTTTGTTTTTGAGTGTGGGACCCTCAAATAAAAAAAGAGCATTACTTCATTAACAGCTACTGGCGCTGCTCTGTAGGCGACCCTGCCAGTCTGCAGTGACAGCAGTGGAGGGTTAAGTTCAGCTCCTCACTGCTGGGCTTTAGTGACATTTATGGAATCATATGCCTTTTAAGAGGGACAATTATTTATTATCGGCACCCTATCCCGTAGGCTAAAGCCTAAGTGGTAGGAGTAAGGGGTGAAATGGGATTGGGCCTAAATCAGGGAGACAAGAGACCAAAAGAGGTTTGGAGCACTTTAGTTAGGGAGCATGATGAGGGTTAGAGGTTCATGAAGAATATAAGACAACTTTGTAGTTGCTAGTTGAGGTTATTGGAGGTCAGACCATCAGGGTAGATTACTGAATGCTGGTATTTATCGCAGCAGGAAGGTGAGCAGCACATGCCAGTAGCTTTGAAACTACTGTTTCTGGCAGATTCAGTTCAGAGTACTGGAGGAACACGATGATGTTATATCAAACAGCTCCTCAGCTGTGCTGAGTTTGCTGGTTCAGGCAGAAGCATATACAGGTTGACAAAGCAGACTGATAGGCACGTTTGGAGCTCAGCACTCAACCCAAGGTGTATCTAGTGATCATAGTGATCATCTCTGTGCAAGCAGAGACTCCGGCAGGACTAGCCAAGTCCACTACCATCAACTGTTTTTGATAAATGGTGAAATAAAAACGAATACAAATTTTACTCAGTTAATACTTAGAGAATGCATTATTTAAAACAATTTTCTTCAGCTTTCAGATTTTGTTTTTTTCTTCAAACAAATCTCAACAGCACTAAACAATTTGCAAATATTTGATAAGTGAAAAGGCATCTCCAGACTCCCTGGGCTGCTAGGGACAGAAACTTGTAGAGTTCAGCTTAATGAAATGGTAGACAAAACATATTGAAATATTTCTTTCAGCAAAGACTTGGGGAAGAGTAATGTTTTGTTTGAGGAATTTAATTTGACATGTCAGCAATCAGCTAATTTATGTTAGCTAATCCATGCGTTTGGCTGCATTTAAATGCATTATTAAAGAACAAATAATGTTATTTATATTGCAACTTTGGCTAAAATTTTGGCCAGTTTACGAAATTACTGGAAATGTCCTAGCGTGTGATATCATCA